CAACAGAGAGAATCAACACATGCTGCTTACTTCAAACAATTTAATGGCAACTTGGGAGGCATTAGGAACGAACTCCAGAATGCATAAAGTTAGTCATTAAATATTTATAGAAAGTACATGGTATATTTACAGAGTGGGGGGAATTTGAGCAATTCTAGCTCAGGACATCGAAGGAATAAGTAGCCACGCCAGATCAGAGGGTTAAAATCCCTCCAAGATTTGAGCTACAAAGATTGTTTAGTCTTAAAATTGAAAATTGCGGAAAATCCAGGATTTTAATTTGGCAGACGAATGCATAAAAAAGAAGCAGCTTCCAAATAATGACTGAATCTAGTAATTTTCCATAAACGCTTCACGCATTAAGCACTTTGCCCTTCCAGGAACAATTTTTGAAGCTTCTCTCATGTAAAGAAAACATCTTCCCCTCAAGGCGTAAACTACACCGAACGTAAAACAAAAAGAATCGGTGAATCTTCTCAGAAATGTTATCCACAAGATTCACTGCGAGGATCAGAAATGAATTTCAAGTCGGTGGTTATTTCGAGCACCGGGTTCAGGAATTACTCTTAAACCTTTCAACGGGTTTTAATGTGGCGATAAAGAGCGCAACGGGACAGTTTTATACCCCCAAGACGGGTTATACTCCCAATTGTTTTTAAAAGTTAGCAACAATTCACCTACATTAGAACTATGTTGTAAAGGATTTACAGTAATTTTCATGACTGTAAAAGACGGGATGGTTAGCAGCGTGCGTTTATATCGCGTCCTTCTCGTAGGATAACCTCTCAAATTCAGGCTGGACGTCAGTCAGCAAAGCAACTCAAATAAATATATCACCTTTGCAGTCTTTTCTTTACCCCTCCCTCCCTTTTTTAAAAAAAATATAAACAGCGGCCGAAATCTCACACACACTCAAGGAAAGCGTCTCACCCAGGACAACATAGAGCAGCTTATTGATGACTCTTTTAACCATAGGTTTACTATTTTGGGGGAGGTGGCTGGTCACAGAAATAACCGGTATATTCTGTGAAGCGCTTTGAGATGTCTCGAAGACGTGATAAGGCGCTCTATCAAATGCAAGGATTTTTATTATAATAAGTCTTAGAAAGAAATGCTGTGGCTGTGGGACTGGGATTCATTATCAGTTAATATCGGTTGTTGACGTCATTGGGTATTATATCAGCAAAGGCCACGAGCTAACAAACTACTGACCAATATGGAAATAAAAGGAACATATTTCAAATAATGCATTGTAGAGTTTTAAGACTTCATAACTTTGATGTTGTAATTGGGAATCCACATTTGTGCGGTTCCTACTAGAGGTGTATTTGGTCGAAAAACACACTTACGATTTTACTTTTTGGAGGAAGAGGGGAACGGGAGGGGTTTTAAAAAAAAAAGAGCGATTATGGCTTCAAAGTAAAACTATTCAAATCTGCAAAAATGGATACTGCACCACAGAGAGTTATTTTTTTAGAGTTTTATATAAAACACAAAATGTGGCCAACCATAACAAAACATGAAAGAAATTACTTCAGATATGCAATGCTCGAAAGGTTAAGTTGCAAACATTTGTAGATTATAGAAGTTTGAAAACACATCACCACTTTCTTCACCTCTGCTGTCCATTTCTTTATTAAAAATGTACAGCCAATTCCCAACATAACGAATCTGCAAATATCACAGTGAACTGTAAAAGCCCCTTTTAACTCCATATTATTTTACAATGTCTGATGCTGAAAAAAAAATTGAGCTGCTGCTATCACCCAAACTTTAATTAAAACACTTCAAACATCAAACTTGCAGGGGTGCTTCAATTTCATTCCATCGCCTTACATCTCCAGCGGAAACAAAATTGAAACGTACAAAATCCCTTAAAACTACACACAGCGAAGGGAGTTAATTGGGGTGGGGGGGGGGGGCGGGAGGAGGAAGAGGGAGGGAAGAAAAAGGAGTGGCTGGCAAACAGTTATCCAAACAGATTTATTGGCATTTTCCTTAGGCATCAATTGACAATGAAATATATGAAATGCAGTAAAATGCAATAGGCAATACTAACAAGCAAATCTTGGCAACGGCCTCAATGTGCCCCCCAGTTATCCTAATTGTGCTACTTGCTTCAGCCCCATTCAATGCAAGTTTGCCTATTGGGACAACAGAAATGGTAAAAGCATATTTTACACTTGGAATTAACAGTCAAAAAATACTCCCCAAGATTTGCATCCTGCCTGTGGTTCACTAATCACACATGTAAACTCTCCTTTTTGCTGTTAAAGGTTATGCAGGGGTGTGGTCTCATTTTATTATTAATGGAATTTGAAGGCCCTCTCCCGACTTCATACCAGTTTCAGTATTTAGAAGGGGTTAAATTACATTCAAAACGCAAGTCAACCAAGCATTTTCATAAATACTTTTAAAGCAATGAGTTTGTGTCAGACACTGCATTGGGGGGAGTTTAATATTTTCAAATGTACGTTACCTCCTTAACATATGGGAGTAATAAGTACATGACTATCTACCTTTGGTTAGATGCAATTTTTCAATCTGTGACAACCCATCACATAAGCAGCATTTATACAAACTGTTTGCTAGATTAGAAATTATACTCTTGCATTCAATTAATGTGCAATGAATGATAGCTCAGGACAGAAGACAATTAAATTTGTTTAATTAAACAATTAGCCAGACTGTACTTGGGCTGGGGGCAATAATGGCAGCTCAATTTTTTCAGGTTGAGTTAGGAACGTCAGGGCTAAGGGAAGCAATCCCCTCCTAAAATGGATTTCAATTCCACTATGAAGTACACCAACTCAATAGTAATAACCCTTGCTCAATAATAATTTTGAAATGGGAGACAAACCAATGGAAATAACACAAGACACGATACTTCCAACATGTATCGCTGTTAAGTCAACAGAAGGCACCTGAAAACAGGGTTACGTTAGGTTTCTGGTCAATGGTCCCAAATGCATAGGCTCTTTTCCTTCAATCACGTTCAAAATATTCTCCAGGGAAGACCATTGTTCTGATGTCACAGTCCCCGACAGGCATAGTGTTTAATAGTTTAACATGTGCTGAATTAAAGAGTTCACTGACAACTGAACAACAAAAAGGGGCTCATTCTTAATCGATCCTCAAAGACCTTTAACATGTCTTCACAGTTGCTCAAAAAAAAATAACTGCTTGAGGAAACCATTTTACACCAGTAGATATTAAATGTCCTGTAGCGAAAATAAAAAAAGGAAATCTAAAGCCCATGTAAATTGGATGTCAACATCTTAAGAATTGGCTGTACAAGTTATTTTTTTTTGTAACTTACAAAGATATGGCTGCTTTGACAAAAATGCTGATACAGACAAAACAATTGCGCAGTTTTTTTTCAGGATTCAATCACATTCATTTTTTTTTAAACATTTCAATCTGCAAAAAAAAAAAAAAAAAAAATACAATTCAGTTCACAAGACCAGACACGGCAGCTCGGCGATCTTTGGGGTTGTGCATTTCGCATCTTCCCCCCCCCCCCCCTTCCTAGTTACACTTAAAAGCGTACCTCTAAACGTTTTGAAGGCAGAGAACTAACACACTTAATCTTGACATCTCTTTTCGGGACTCCGAAATTCTGTAACATTTACAAGGAACAGCTTGACCTTTATATACTTTTACAAGAAACTGCCTTCGGATACAACGCAACATTTCCACGTGACTGTGTTCAAACTGGAGTTACCGACAAACCAAACCTATTGAGACTAACAGAACCACCGAACTAAGTTCGAAGGTTGACCCAACATTTTTTTTAAAAAAGTTTTTTTTTCCTGAATATGGTGTTTCAAGCCTTTTTTGTAGACCATCTCAAACCTTAGTTGAGACTTAAATAGATGAGCAAACATAAAAAAAACGTTTGAAAGACTGGGCCAAATAAATCCTGCATTGCCTTCACAAATAGTAGACTTGGAACAGTCCGACTTGTGACTAATGGACATTTCCTTACGAAGACATTGAAGCCCTCTCACCCCCACCAAAAACAAATGTGATATGATTATGATGCTGACAGGATCAACAAAAGATCATAGGCCGTATTTACATTTTTCAATTAAATGGATGGAATCTTTTTTTAAGACAACTTCAGTTCTGTCTATATACTGATTTATGATTTACGTGCGAAAGGCTAGAATGCCATTAACAGAAAGCATTTAGGTAACGTAATACAGTGGAAAGTGAACATCAAGCAAAGTTGCAAACGGCGGCTGCCTTTACAGTAACCCTGTTCAGGTTACGCCTAGAAAGACGGCCATAAAACCGAATCTACACCTACTTTTAATGAAGCCAGTTCACTAACAAAACGCGTTGTGGCTACATGTATTTACAGCACCTCAAGGTTTGAAGGCCAAGATATTTAGGCCATGTTAGATTTGCAAGGGACCTCGATCTGATCCTTTGCTGAAATACGGCTCGCACTGTCAAATTTTCAAACCACTGCAGTAACAGTCGTCACAGAGAACAAATCCACAGGAAGATTTCAGAATATGGCAAGACTGAAAACTAACCGGATATACGCAGGTGTTATTTTTTTTTGATAATACACAAAGATCAACAAACCCTTTAGAATATGAACATTCCCTTTCACGTTTCAAGTTTGTGTGCGGTGGGGGTGGGAAAGAGAAGAGGGGGTGTAGCACATAATTTTCAAACCAGCGCTCACATCGATGGCCAAATTCCCCCCTCCACCAATGAGGGAGGAGAGAATTTTGCCTAATTTCTGCCACAACTTTGTAGTTTTTTCATCAGGCTTTTAATTTCTTCACTTGAAATTACCTTTTGAGAACATGGAGAGAAACAAAACGATGCCACAAATTAGTGCTAGGTTTGTAAATATTCTACAAGTCTCCCAAGTTTGAAAATGATTAAAGCAACTCCCATAAAATAAGCCAAATCCAAATGGTTCAATCCCCTCACGTGCAGGACACAAATAGGGAGACGGTCTCTTCAAAACCCACTACAAGCCTCGTGTCTAAAGCCTTGTGAACTGAGCTGTCAGTGAAGTCATATTCTAACTACTTATATAAAAAATATCCCCTTGTATTGTTCAGTCATCCCCAGAATTAATATCGTCTTCGTCCTCTTCTTCTTCCTCGTCTGGCTCTTCATCCTCGTTTGTGTCTGGTGGAGGACTCTTCTCTTTCTTTGATTCTTTTGCAGAGCTCTCGAGTGGCTGACCTTTGGAAGGTGGTGATGCCTTTGTGGCAGCATTTCGACCCTTTCCCTTGCCTTTTACTGGACTGGGAGTTGCAGGAGTAACTTGAAGAAAGGTACACAAAACAGTGATTTAACTCAATAAATACCCAGGAAACCCACCACGATTAATCAACCGTGCTTCGCAAGAGGAAAGAACCTTCAAAAACAGTCACTGCAGAAATCTCAATTGGTTAAAGTGTCCTAGAAACAACCACACTAGAGGCTAGGAGCTCGGTGTCAGCCTGAAACTCTCCACAATTAAAGCTCCCAATCGGGGCATCTGCTCCCTCAGTCGTTCACCCAGAGATTTGATGGGAGTCACTTTCATGTCCGTCCTCATTGCTCAATTGCAAAGCATCACTGGCAGAGTGACCTTTGAGTGCTGCTTAAGTTTGATACCATGATTTCCATGAACATTTAGAATTTTCTGAAAAGTCCACACATACAGCATCACAAATGAATTACTGAAATTTGCTTCAGTATTTTATAGTAAAATAAATAGTAAAAGAAGCAGAATCTGCTTCCGGAGGAAACAGATATTAAACTCAGTTAAGACAAAAAGTATTTCAGCGTTAAAATAAGTGTTTAACTACTCAAAGGAACACTTCAATTAATAGATTAGCCAACTCGGCCTGAAAATGAAAAGAATATTAACATGGTGCTTAAAGAGTGGGAAGAAACTCATGCATAACGGCTGAAAAAATAGGTCACGTTTGCTGACTGCTGGAAAGAATGACTGGGAATTAATTAAAGTGACAAATCCACCTTTTAAGTAGGAAATGGGAGTTTTTTTTAAAGCAATGAAAATATAATTCAACAGCAGTTATTTTCACAAATGCACCCGTCAAGACACTGAATTGGTGAAACTGCAGCATCGCTCAGTGAGGTTACGCGGCTTACCTGTGGCGCTGAGCCGAGGTTTAGGCGTTTTCTTTTCTTTCTTTTCTGGTACCACCTTTGTCTTTCTTCCCTTTTTGCTCTTCTTCAAGGAGCTTTCATAGTCACTGTCATCATCCTCTTCCACATAGAAGTCTGCATCACTACCAGAATCTCCTTCTACATAACAAGCATTAAGAAATAATCATTTAACAGAAATGACAGCATATGAGGCTATTCAACCCATCCACTCCTCCATTGGCGCCAACAATACCAATTCAAATTCCCCACTCTGTATCCAATCACATCATTAGATTGGCACTGGTGCTTTCACCACACAGAGGGGAGTGGGACAGCCTGCTCACATTTTTGTGCGATCAAAAAGGGCAAGCACATCACTTACTCTCCTGAATAGCCTCTTCATCCTCATCATGCTCTTCATCACTCCCTCCGTCGTCCAGCAGAATCTCTCTCTGTTTGGATGCAGCTTTAGAAGCAGCTTGCCTCTTCTGACGACCGTCTTTATGGACTTCTTTTTCATCTGCACTTTCATTGTCCCCTGCTGGATAACGCAAACAGGTTTCATTACGCAACTTGATTTTTGTGATTTTAAACTTAAATACGCCTTCGACTCCAAGACACAACAAATGGCTTTTTGTGGCATGTTAGATATAGCAGCCATCTCAGTTTTTTTTTGCTACCAAATTTAAGTAAGTTTATTAACAGTACAGTAAGCAAATAACAACAGAGTTGTACTACCACTGAGTTCCAGCTGGTGGTGACGGCACTAGGCGTCACGATTCTCTCAGCATCACAATACAAACGGAAATCATCAACCACATTGAAATTTAAAGTCGTGACACTGCCCAAATAGCTTGCAAACAACAAAGTCACACTCACAAGCGTCCATATTTAATCATATTGCATTGCTGGCTGTTAAGTTTCTATTTATAGACAATAAGGCATTAATTGACTGAAACATTTTCAATGCAACTTTGCGCTGTTCCTGTTGGTTCACACAATCAATTGAAACTTTCTACAATGTTATGACATAGGAAAGAGGAGTTTTTGTTAAAAAGACAATCAATACATCATACGCTTACTCGGACATTGACATTCGTAAAATTGCCAGGACATTACAGACACTGAAACATTAATGCTCAGACATTTAACAGTCAAGTCATATAAAAATCTAATATATAGCAACATATTAATGAAACATTTTGTGGCATAACTGCATCTTTTTCTTGATTACAACTCAACACAATTTAAGAAAACCTCGTAACAGAAGCGGTGGATATGGTGTTGTTTCAAACTCCAGGAAACTCAATCTCCTCTCAAACTATCCATAAATCATCGACCCTTAGGTTTAATTTAAAAAGGATTTAAAGTAAGGTGCAATGTGGAAGGCAGTTTTTTGTTACGACTATTCATGTAACATTTTGTTCAGAGGGGAATCCTTTAAACAATTTAACAAAAGTGCTGCTTTTCAAGTTTAAAAGGGACAATCTAGGGTAGAAACTTACTTCAACAACACGCTGAATAAGTATCAAGTTGTCATACTAAATCAGAAATCCAATTTCAATTTTTTCATCAATTCCTTTTGAAAACAGAGGTTTACCAGGTCACAGCAAAACCGATGTCTGCTGATACTGTACAGAATCCTTTTCTTACGTTTACAATTTCTATGTGGTCCAAATCAGCAGTAAAACCTAGTTAAGAGACCGACCATTTGCACTGCCGACAGTTCTAGTTATCTTGTGTACTCAGAAGAAGGAAACAAAACAGAATGTTCTCCAAACCAGTTAAAGGCACATTCCAGGAATAAAGCAGCCCCCTGATCACAATCCATCAAAATTAGTAGGGAGTAACAGGATGCATGAACAAACTATCAGCATTTAGCCACAATAGATATAAAAATGGAGCAAGCCATGGGGTGAACTTTCGAAAGCATCTTTTATGCACTTTTTTTTTAGTAGTTAAGATTCAGAGAATCGAAAAGAGGCACAAATACTTTGGAGAGAAGAGTGCGAAGATCATGTCTTAATGCTGCAATGCATATTTAACCCTTACAAATCCAGCATTTTCCAATTAAGCAGGAAACCACACTTATGCAAAAGCTATGCTCACATGATGGATGGTTCTTATGACGATGTATTGCAGTTCATAACCATGAACAGACTAGAATATGCAAAGACTTGTTCAATTTTGTGAGGAAAATAAATCAACAACCTTTGTCAAAACAATAAGCAAGGAAAGGTAAAAGTATAATAAGCAGAGGCATATTTTTAAATGAGAATTTGGAAAATTGTGATTTTGAAAAGGAAAATTTGCAGAAAGGAATGGACAGGAGTATGCTAAATATAAAAGTCCTCTTAATTTACAGAACGGGAAACATTAAGAACTCTCACCTTGCAGGAATTATTTCTAGAATATTTTTCCTCTCCACAAGGACCCACCTTTTCAAGTCTGCAGATTCCAAAAGTAACTGCTCAGTTACAAGGCTGTCTGTCAATGATTGCCTCCACTAGAGAATGCAGATCAGCAAACTCTCTGTGGCCTTGACTAGCAACCAAAAGCAGTTAAGCCATGAAAAGTCAGAACAGAACAGGCAGTAATACAAAACTTACAAACACCTCCGCAAGGAAATAGTTCTTACACTCTGCTCCTTCCCACCAACAAATTACACGCATTTCTGAGTACTGAGAATACTCCAAAACAAGGGATCGTGTAAATAACTCATTTGATTTGATAACCTTAGCCATTACAAAAGAATTGAAACCAACTTGTATATTTATATGGCAGCAGTGAAAGCCATGTTGTATTAGGATGCATAAATACCTTAGCAGATTCCTGAAGGGTAAGAGTTATTCCCAAGGAACTGGAACCAATTTAATTTGTTTTTTTACTGATCGTAGTGATTTATTGAATCAAATCATGAGGCACTAACAACTGGATGCTAAGTACTTACCCCTCAGTGTCCCAGATACATATTTTTTCATTTAAAAAATAAAAAAACGATTCAGAGATTTATCTCAGTGTGTAAAAAGGATATTGGGCAAGCAATATGACAGGAGAACCTAATTGGAACACTCTTGGAATGCCAACTAAGGGAGTGGCTCTTCTTTCCAACATTTCCAATGCAGTCTATGCTTTCATGCTAATCATGTACAGTCTTAAAATTCATTAGGTTTCAAATTTTGACAGCATTATTCTAATCAAAATGAACTTGGTTCTCTTGTGATTCAGTCACACATGGGTGGGTGAGGGCAGGGGGAGAGAAGGAACAGATGGAATGCAACGCTATGATGCATCACCCTCAGATTGCATCTCTCTGGGTGACATCATGCGAAGGGCATCAATTTGGAGTAAATACGACAACCTCTTCCAATGGTTCAACGGCTCAAAGGGGGAAAGAGTATTACTTGGTATTGCAATGTTGCAGTACTGAGCCAATAAAAGCCAGGAGATACCAGCTAACTAACATTTGTTTAAACGTTCATTCAGCAATTTATTTCAGTGCTCCTGGAAGAGGCTGGGGGAAGTGAGAGAAATAATAAAAAAACAAGTGTTGTCCTTCCTACCAATGGCTTTTATGTGTGAATGAGTTTGGGGTCAACACTAGTGCTGTGATTAAATAAGATAGCCTGTCAAGGTTGACATAAGAATGACAAGTTGAGTGTCATTGTACATCTGCCAACACTTGTGAAACTCCAGGATGTGTTACCACTGTTAAAAAAACTTAAGGAAAAGATTGAAAATACATGTGGTGGAGCGAGGGAAGGGAAAGAGGAAAAAAAAGGTTTTCAGATTGTTGAAAGAAAATACATACATGGGACACATCTTGGGTTAACCACTTACCATTAAAGCATTTAATAGGATTATCTTCTCTATTAAATAAGAGATTTGTAGCTTTCATCTATCCTTTATTCTGCATTTCCAGGAACCAAGAAAGAAAACAAAACGCACCTAATTGCTAAAACAAAATCATATGCATATAAACAAGCTTAGAGTTATAGGAATATTTGTCAGCTGAGTAAGTTTAAACTTCTAAATCTACAACTGTTCAGAAGCCTCAAACTAACAGTAAGCTGCTTGTTCAATAGGACCATCTGCACATCTTTATGATTGCTTATCCACTGGAGTTAGTACAGCAAGGGTTCAATGGGGCAGCGTGAATAAATCAACAATGCACGCCTTCATAGGAGATCAAATGTGTGTCCTAAGCTCTTTGCAAACTCAACTTAAAAACACTTGCATTTGATAAAGCACCTTACAGGTCAGGAATACCCCTCAAGCGCTTCACTGGATTTTACTGAAAAGCGTAATAAACTGTATTGCCTGTATTATAGGCAAACCTATTTTGGAGGGCAGGGACCAGCAAATCGGCCACCATCAGCTTACTGTTGCATTTGCATATTGCGTTCTTGGCAAATAAAACAGCATGGCAGAAACAGCTTTCCTAATCTCTTGGAAAGTACACAATCCAGGACAGAACAGAAGAGTTTAGGTAAAGGAGAAAATTGAACCTGGAAAACAAAATAACCCCAAAACATTGGAAATGTAGAACTTGAGTGTGAAATGAACAATGGAACGAAAATTCCTACCGGCACCACTAGACATGTTCTGCTGAGAGAGAGAAACAAATTAAGAGCGGACAAAATTCCATTTAGCACTGATGGAATTAGTTACTCCATAAAACAAATAACCAACAATATTTTCATGACAATATATAAGAGAAGTTGCACACAAAATTTGTTTTGAACCGAAACCAACAACACTCGCCAGTCATAAGGGGAAATCCGGCGTTTGAAGGATGTTCAACACTAGATGGCAACAACGCCTGTGGGGTTTGGGAGCACAACACTAAAACTGTTGGAACAGCAGAAACAAAGCTTTGCCTCAGGACTTTACATACCATTGCTCACTTGTCACCAATGTGGAAGCTACTCCAGCCCAGAATGTTAAGTGAGCAAGTGGAAAGAAGGAAAACTACCTTCTGTTTCAAGTGATACTCATACAACCTTGGGAAACACACTGGAAATTGGCAATGACCTCCCAATTTGCATGCTAATGCAGATAATATTAAGCTACTTCCAGCCCTTGGATCTGACTTACTCAATGGGCAGATGCAGCAAGTGTTCCACATGAAAATAAATTTGCAGCTGGCAACAAGCTCAAATGGCGGATATACAGTTTATGTACAATCAAATTGAAATCTAAACTGAGTAGTATTAGAAGGATTGAGTTCCAAATTGTCCTCATAAAATGCAAAACCGCATGGGGAGGAAAAATGACATATTGCTGTCCTTTCAGACGTCAGGGACCTCTGAAAACAGTGTCAAAAAATACCATCAGCTCTGAAGTGCTGTTTCTGATTTCCTTGGTGGAATATTTGAGACACAATGCACTAATCAGTTTTGTGTTTGGCAATGTGCATGAAAACTGTTCAGAATAGTCTCAGCCAGGTACAAAGGTAGCCAATGAATTGATGTCTGATGGTACACACCGGATAACAGTTGTGTAGCACCAGCCATGGAAGACTTCTTGTTTCCCAACACCTGGAGAGGTGCCAATCAAGCAATTTTTTTTGGGAGAGGCAGCTTCAAGGGCTCAGAATATTTAGGACTTCAAAACTCTTCTGTGGATAAGTCCTCAGTTGGGACAGCTAAAGCTGGAAGCATTGAAGGTAGATGAAATGGTAGTGGTTTATGTTGATAACAGGTACACAAATGGTAACATGACAGTGGAGCCTATTTGAAGATTGCTTTGAAGAGGCCAGAGGAAAAGCTGATGTTTTTCTGGTATCAAAATCTGTCCAAGAACCCTGAATACTTAAGCACAGGCAACAGGTCAAGCGTAGAGCGGTGACATCAAGAATGATCATGGATACTCCAGAAATAAGTTTCGGAAAATGGTATCATCAGTACAGTATCAACAGTCTGAACGCTGGAGATGAACAGCGTTATAAAGAGACTACTCTCCCTAACAGAATATGTCAAAATGAGCTGCAAACTCTAGTGCTATGTTGAGGATGAAATGAAATGCTGGCACAAAATACTCAAAATATCCACACAAACTGAAATTTACTACCAGTGGAGTTTATACAAAAAGGGCCTAATATTCAATTTAAACAATTCACAGTATGGTGCACATCATGTACAATAAGCTATTCTTAAAAATTACAGTGGGAAGTGAACTCCTGCCTTACACCAGAGAAGCCCGACCTGATTGACTTCAGAAGAACCACACCTGCTGGCTATTACAGGGATACAACTTACCTGTAGCCCTTTCCCGGATTTTGGGGACGTCCTTTTCTTTCTCAGCTTTAGCCTTTTTCCCCCTTTTTGTCCTTTGTCTTGGCAGTTCACCAGGATCAATCTCTTCATCACTACCCATGTCCTCCTAATCTGTAAGCACAATAGATAACCTACCTTCAGCTGTTTTCCTAGCCTTTCTGGATGTTTTTTCTCCTTTTCAATTCTACTTTTTTTCCCTTTTTTTCCTTTTTTCTTGGAAGCCTCGTAGTCACTGTCACCATGGTCCAACTCTTCATCACTTCCCATGTCCTCATCTGAAAGAATAACAACCCTTTTAAATAAGCAAACCAGAGTGATCCAATGTTTGTTGGCAAGTGCGCATGCGACAATGCATCAAGAGGCTTTAAATCGGGGGGGAAAACATAGTCTTGACCCATCATTACATTGGCTGCACTTACCGGCTATAATGAATTATGCATGCACAGTATGGATGAATTAAATCGGATTTTATACAGTTTGCCTGCAACTTAGGACTTCACAAAGTCATATTAAATGTTATGGTCCTGATTGATATGACCTGTGAGTTTTACTGTAAAACACACTGTTGAGTGGCAGGTCATGTCACTCTGTGCTCAAAGACCTGCATGCATCAACTAACTGACCAAATTCATTACAGCAGCCAAACTTTAACCTTCAAGCAGACCTCTACTGCAATATTGAATAACTTAACTGATATTGCTTCCCTTCTTATGGAATCATTAATGTATACCCACCAGGTGAATGGGATGTGTCCTTCTTGGACAGTGCAATGGCAGCCTTTAGGTCCTTCTCGTATACCTTGTCATCTGATTCATCACTGCCAAATATATAGAAACGAATACACGTAAATACTAAGGGTAATGTAGCATATCCATGAACATCTGTGAACAAGGCGCAAGGGGAACAGCTGACAGACCCAAAAAATAAAGCCTCAATTCATTTCTTTGAATGGACTCAGAACCCAGGCTCCCAAAGCGCAAAATTATTTGTCAGACTAAATAACTAGGGTAACATGAATGTCTGAAACTAGGGGCGACCACCAGGATCGGATTAAATTTCAACATTCTTCAAAACATATGCACTACAATACAAAGTTACATTTGTTTAGCGCCTTTCAGTTGGGAGGACGTACAAGATATATTACAAGGGGTTTCCAAGTCTTCAAAACAATATGGGGGTGGGGGAGAGAAAGTGGAATAAAGGAGAAGTATAAGCATTCTCACAAAACATCACCTTTCATCCCGTGCGTTCTTTGCAGATTTTCTTTTAGTTTTTCCCTCCCGCGGAGACGCTCGCGCTCGCTTGGTTGGAGGTGGCGAGTCTCTTCCATAAGCTTCTTCTGGAATGACAGAACTAGATTAACACTGCGGCCGTCTCCATTACACACCTATTTCCTAAAAGAATGATGCAGTTTACCAGCCTGGGGAAAAAGAGTCCCAATACCCAGAGCGCAGGGCTTGGTTAAAGGCTGTTGGATAGAGGTTCAGATGCAATTTGGTTTCGTACACATAGGACAATACATCAATGAAAGTCCTGCAATGCAAAAAAAAGCCGCACACTCATGAAGCACTGCAGACTTCAAAAATGTCTTTATAAACTGATCGTTCAATCAACATCCAACTGCACCCCCCCTCATCTGACTTAGTTATCTAGAACATCTCTGTAAAGTGCAAATGGATTCTTGCTGCACTCTTATTTTAATTTCCTTTATCCATTGCTCTTTTGATACACATGTTGATATCTGATCAAAATATATTAACTAGTTTCAGTCATCATTTCAACATAAACGTGATGTTCTGTGATGTGTAACTTGGCGTACAGTCCTATTCAGATTAATTGCAAAAAAGCTAAAAACTACAATTTATGGAATCTGCTGGGACACGCCGAGAAGTTGCAAAAAAATGGAATGAAAATTTCTAGGGATAACCCATCACCCAAAGTACAATGAAGGACAAGTACAGAATTGCGACAGGCTTAAAGATGCAAAAATGGACCAGATAGTAATGAAATAAACGTTTTGACAGTTAACAGAAAGCTAATCTTATGTTAGTCGTGCTATGACTGTTGATTTTCAAAACAAATCCATTAATAAGGCAATGTTGTACAGGCCTTGCAGAATTTTGTAATGATCCTTGGGTTTTGTCAGCCATCCCTTCAGAGAGAAAAAAAAAGGTACTGATGTGGCAAACTAACATCAGAGGTATGCCATCATTGGCCTGAGTTACAGTGAGGTAAAGAGAAGGGAAATTTAGCCAGTGCTTCTTTATTCTGGTCGCCTATCCCAGGAAAAAATGAGTTCCGTGTCTTTGGGAAAAAACATGATTAGGCCTTGGGTGCAACTCTCTTCTGTTGGATATACCAACACGTACTACATCAGTTCACAGATCAAAAATATTTATTTAGGCATGATACTGAGGAGGGCCCAGAAGTGTGCCACAACACCTTTACAAGATTGGGGTGGGGGGGGGGATAAAATGTACTTACTCTTTATTTACTTTAAAAAAAAGGATTTTATTTACTTACTTCATTTACTTTAAATAAAATTGGTTCAATTTACAATATCCAATTCACACACTGACAAGCGCTTTTCTTTCACTTGCATCCCCACTCACCCTTGGGCATTCCACACTATCCCTTGCTAGGTCAATGAAATTCTGCTGCCGAAAATCCCAGTTATTTAAAATTAAAAACGTTCTGGCCTGATGTATATTACATACCATCAGAATCTTCAAACTGTGAGTAGTCAATGACCTTCCTATTCCTGAAAAAAAAGAAAATGGATATTGATTAGCTACAGCAACTGTTTAATACACAGTGCAAATGAGGTAAGGATTTTAAATTTGAAAAGGATGATTATTAAAATACCACAGAAACAGCTAAACACAACAGCCACAACTTCACAAAACGATCGATTATAAACAGTTACTCGTTTTTTTTAAACTTTCTCCTTGCATGAGATGACAAGTGGGCAGCATGTTCCCTAACTTCTTCCAATAATGTTCTTGGCCCAGAAATTGACAAGTTTGGACATAGGCTTCAATCTGCAATTTCTTGAACAGTTGACTGCGAAATAGAATCAAGACATTGCCATAAAAAATCGAATGAGAAGACAGTTCATCTATGATCACTGTTACGCACCCCTCCCAGCATTCCTCGAAAAAATGGGCAGGGGATTGAGAACTGGTCATTAGCGCATATTGGAAAGCTGAAACAATGCACGATTCTGGGAATGGGAAGGAAAACAAATAAAAGCCTCATGGAAAGCGTTTTCTGTTTAAATTCATAAATCCATTTTCACACTATAATGAACTGCAAATGTAATCACAGAAGTTAGTGTAGAAGACAGCCATTCAATCCATCAGAAACAAGCTGATGCTAGCTCAACGACTGAACCTCTGCAACCCCACCTTCATGCTCCCTCTCCATACATTTATATGAACCTAAAAACCCATGTACATAAAAAATATTCCAACCTATCCCTTAACTCTTCATATGACTGAAGTGAGGCTCCCTCGTTACTGATTTACTAAATCAACATCAAGAATCTTCACTATCTATTCTCTCAAAACCTTTTAGTTTTTGAAGGCCTCTATTAAATCCCATTAACCTCAGTTCCAGGGGGGAAAAAAATCTAATTCTACAAGTTTATACTCACAAGTCTTCTGCTTAAAAAAATTAAAGTAATTTGGACTGCTATGAAGGCAACCAAATTATTGCATTAATGGCAGAAATAACATGTTACATTTTAAACAAAAATGTCCACCTTCTAGATCCACCATCTTGATCCTGGGACTACTCTGCAAAGGAGCTATGCATTCTTTTCCTCCCCCATTCCAGATCTAATTATCTTTTCAGATGTGGATTTTAGGGCAAATTGTGAGACTACAGGTACTGTAGTTCAGGAATGCAATTACGTTTAGAAAGCTCAGCTTACACCCCACCGCTTCAGAAGGGGAAGCAGGGGATCAAAAACCCAGAATGCAGCCACAGCATTTATAGCCTCGTTCGCCTCTCCAACTTTTGCAGAATCGGGAATGTAGACACCGACTATGACCCCCACAGGGCTGGGGGCTGAAAAAAAAACATGTTGGCAAATCGTTTTTTTTTCTCTCCGAAACGGGAGCATCTTGAAAATGCTGCTTCTAAGATTTAAAACGCTCCGACTAACATTCGCGTCATAGGGGGAAAAAAAGTGGGGAAATTTGAACACGGTGCCACGGGCGTCTTTTAAATATCCAATTAAAAATCCGGATCCTTTGGATCTGCGATCAACTGCTTCTCGCACACGCTTCGCGCACTGGGCAATCACGAGCCGAATTTCCAAACACACCAGAAAACAAAAGCCCTTCAGCCATTATTTTGACCTGGAACCATTTAAGCCTCAAAACGAAGCATTGATCCCGAACAATTTTTTTAAAAAAAAAAGTGGATGGGTTACACAACTCGCCCTTTCCCCCCCCCCCCCCACGAGGCACGCTCACACAACAAAAAAAATACAGTAAAACTAACTGCAACCTCATGCCTCAAGGCAACACGTTTAATTTAAGGGGGGAGGGGGGGGGGGAGATTGTGTGTGTGTGTGTTGTGCAAGGCAATTTGCAGTCCAAGGATCAAAAATGGCACTGCTGCTCGGAACCACAGATGAACAGCATAAAGCAAGAGTAAAAAAAGAGAGGGATGGGGGGGCGGGGGGGAAGAGAGGGGAGGGAGTGGGGGGTGAGAGAAGGAGAGAGGGAGTGGGGGGAAGAGGAGAGAGAGAGAGAGGGAGGGGGGAGTGGGGGAGAGAGAGAGAGGGAGGGAGTGGGGGAGAGAGAGGGAGGGAGGGAGTGGGGGAGAGGGAGAGGGAGGGAAGAAGGGAAAACAACTGCAGCAAGACTGGAATATATGTATGTATGGGGCGGGGGGGGGGGGGAGAGAGAAAGATCCAACACAATCTGTACACTTGCAAGGGAGGGAGGGAGGAGGAGGGTGTGGGGGGGAGGGGGGGGAGAGAGAGAGCGCAATTTATTTTCATGTGGAATATAATGTCCACACACACACACATACACACACACCACAGGGGCGCTGACATTAAATAAAAAAAGTCACTACGGAATAATTTACGGCGGGCACAAGGCAAAGGGGTATATAACGCAGCTTTAAGAAACGAACCCCCCCCCCACCCTTCCTTCCTCCCTCTCGTGTGCGACTTACATGTGTGTGTGTGTATATATATATTTAAAAAAATCGTACGACATTTTTCCCTCCCTCCCCTCAATTTCGGGAGGGAAACCGACGACTCCAAACACCGACTCGACTCACCTGACAGGCCTGGACATCTCGTCGGCGGCGGCGACGACGGTGGTGTGGTGGGTGGAAGGGGTTTGGGGGGGAGTGGGTGGTGGGGGGGGGGGTGAAGAGAGAGGAACACACACCTTTCGGGGTGGGGGGTAATTCTCTGAACAAAACCGAAGCTCCCTTTTTTTTTCTCCCCTCCTCCTCCTTTTAAAAATCTTCCTCCTGACTTCCTCACCTCACTCACTCACTCCCTCCCTCCTCCCCCCCCCCACCACCTCCCGGGCCCTCAACACTTTTTTTTTAAAAAAAAAATCCCTTTCGATTTTCAACCTCAACCCTTCTCTCTCCGCTCCAACGTGCGCGCGTGTCTTCACACACACCACACCCATCCCCCCCCCTCCCTCCTCCCAAGTAAGAAGTATTAAAAGCCTTAAAAAGGCAGGAGAAAGGTGTGGTGGTGGTGGTGGTAGTGGGGGGGGGTGGGGGTGGTAGTGGGGTGGTGGTGAGGGGAGTGAAAGGGTGGGGGTGGGGGAGTGGAGTGGGGGGAGAAGAGAAAAAGAGAACTAGGCGCAGGCTTCAGCGCACGCAAACGCTAAAAAAAAACGAGTTGGGTGAGGAGTGAGGGGGGAGAGAGAGAAGGGGGGTGTGGGGGGGGGGGGGGGGGTGGGGTGAGAGGGGAAACCAACGGCCTGATTTTTTTTTTGACAGGAAAATAAAACGGAGCGGGGAGGAGGGTTTAACCCTTCGCCCTCTTGCTGAGGGGGAGACAGAAATCTTCCTCTCGGGCTCGAAGTAAATGGCTAACGGCGCTCTCGAGCTGAGAGGAGCGCGGGGCGGCGCTGAGGGGGATTTTTCTCCCTCCCCCCCACCCCACCACCTCTCTCTCTCTTCTCTCTCACTATATATATATATATATCTCGACTTGGCGGAGCTGGAAGCCCCCAACGTGCGCGCGACCTCCTTCCCCCCCCCCACACACTCCCTTCTTCCTGCCTTCCCGCCTTCCCTCCACGCGCAGTCCCCGCCCTCCTCCTCCCGTCCATTGGCCCGTTTGAAAATCAACCCGCCCTCGGATTGGACGAAGCGCCCGTCACTCACTCGAACGACGCCGCCCAGGACCCACGCCCCCGCCCTCCGGTCCCAACGTCGACGGCCAGACCGTTTTTTTTCAAAAAAAGAGCAGCTCGGCGTTTCGCCTCGGCACATTCGCGGTTCGGTTACAAAGTCGGCTGCCGAGTCCGGTTTACAACAAATGAGGGCTCCTTTCCACCCTCCTCCTCCCCACCCGCTTTTTTAAATGTTGTCCCTAACGGAGGAAAGGGAAGAAACGTCGAGTTTCTTCACCGCCGCCTCCTCCCCCGCCGCCCACCCAAGCCATTGAAAGCCCTTACTTTCAATTTCGGGGGCGGCAGATTCGCTTGCTGAGGTGCCGCCATTGTTCTCCTCCTCCCTCCCCCCTCATCAGCAGGATAGGATGGCCGTTTATTCCTCAGGTACGACTTTGGGGAGAATGTTAGGACCCGCTTTGATTTTTTTTCTAACCCCCCCCCCCCCCAAAACCCCCCACACACACACACACTTTGTGAAGCTGGCAGTCCCAGCCATTGTAAAATTGGCGGCAAAACAAAACACCCCCTCTCCTCTCTTCTCACCTCACCCTCCTCCTCCCTCAACCCTCCCCTCCCCTCCACCATCTTAGTCTGCCATCGCTTTGCCCAGGCGAACAGCTTTAAACCCGACACTTTTTTTTTACACCCCCCCCACACACACCACCACCGCGTCTCCACCCACTCGGGTTTTTAAAAAAAAAAAAAATTTTTTACACATAAAATACATATCAAATAAATTATTATTAACATTAAAACAAAAAAAAATACGCCACACTCGACGGGTTTGCCGAAGACAGTCAGTCAGTGAGGTGCATGTACACAGGAGGGTGGGAGTGGGGGTGAGGGGGTAAACTACTAACACTCTTCAACCCCTGAAGCTGATTGAGATCACCCCCCCTCCTCCCTCCAGTTTAATATTCATTATCAGTAATAATGTGTTTGCACAGCACTGCCCCCCCACCAAGTGCTCTGGGGGACGGACGGGCATCACGTAATTGACCCACAGCACTGATATCCATTCGGGGATTAGGACCACGTCCGCACGTCCGTTCGGTTTGCTCGGGGTATCGGAAGGCGATGGCTGCCTTCGCCGGCCGGGTTTCTGGAGTTTGCGCGGCCTCTGCAAGAGTCGCAAGGGCGCGCGTGTGTGTGTGTGTGTGTAAAAAAAAGCTCCCGAGCAGAGGTTCCCGAAGCTTCCCCGTAGCTTGGTGAATTTCACGTGAAATGCTAAAACATTGGTGGGTTTTTTTTTTGTGTTTCTATCGCATAAGATGGACTTTCAGGCCAGGACGCTGGACTCATTTTAAGAAGCAGTTTGGTGGTGTTGTTAAGATGGTTGGGGGGGGGTGGGGGGGGGTACTCTGGAAGCATGAAACCAGATGAGCTGAACGACCAAGCCAATCAAAGTGGCAGCACCATTGCACACAAAAATGTCCCACAACCAGCCATGGAGCGAGTGATTGACCAATTTTATTTGGAACTCCCTTTCCCTTCTCTTTTCGAATAGTGCCATGAGATAACGTTCCCCTGAACGGGCAGACTGGACCTCGATTTAACGTCTCAGCCAAAGGGTGGGCACCTCTTGACAACGCACCGCAGTTATCCAGGATTTAAGTTTCAGAAAAAAGACAATTGCAATAAAAAGATTACCTACCTCGTAGGATATTCATTATTATTTCAGTGTAATATCCTGAACACATCAGAAAAGCCAGCTCTGTAATTTTGCCACCGTGGTACATATTAATATCAGCTGTCTCTGAGCAACACAAAACCGTTCTCCACAAAAGGTGAGTTCACACACATCTTTGAGCAACAGCTCATTTTTGTACCATTGAACCCTTACAGGTTTGTGCACTCCCACAGAGGGTGGAAGCATAGTTTGTGGAGGTTGCTACACAAAAATTCATTTGCTGAAATATAGTTTTTAGAGCACATCAGAAAAAGTATCCTTCATAATCCTTATATTCCAGGAATGCGCTATGAAAGTCCTCATCAATTACTGTGCTTCTAGATGACCTTTATTCTTATCTATTTCCATACTACAGTGCTGAGTGTTTCTAGGATTCCTCAAGCACGTTATGAAGTTTAGGTTCAACAACTGTCTGCAGTTAATCATCCCAATGTCAAATAATAGTCATCATATTCCCTAGGTGGAAGCTTTTGAGGAACACTGAACACTGAAAACTTTTGAAAGATTAATGAAGTCAGGCACTGTATATTGTGTATAAAACAAAGTCTATTCTTATACCCTGTCATTTGCTCAAGTTATACTAGGGATAATTGATGGATACAAGTCTGGAGGGAGAGATGAGCAAAATACACCTACCTTTGTGTTTTCAGTGCAAACTCTCAACACTTTGTGCTGTGCAAAGTTCCCACTTCCTCTACATTTTAAGGAGGAAAAAAAAATGCTGAAGAAACTCACGTTACCCAAATCATTTGTTGAAAGTTCAGTTAATGCCCGAATAGGAATTTTCTCCATTAATTGATTCCTGTTGACAGCTTTTGGAATTAATCGTGAACACTAAAGAGGCTAATGTTAGGGGGGCAAAAAGTTCAGAAGATGATAAACATTCAAGTTGGAATAGACTACAGAACAAATTGCATTTCGTGTACCTTTACATTAATATTAAAATAAAAAACTTCACCCTCCAAGTCTCACAAAATACCAGTTGTATGAATATGACCCAGTGAGACAACAGCCCTTATATTTGCTGCCAACAGGGAGCACTCGTGAGCACTGAATATCACACTGAATCTTCTAAGCTGTGCAATTGTTCAGTTGGATTTTTAGCTCCAGGACCTGCAGTGCGGAGAGAGAGAGAGAGAGAGAAAAAAAAGGGAGAGCGAGAATAAAACAAATCTGAACAAAAAGTAATGTAAAAGGATTATTTTAAAAAAAACACGCATTATGCTATTAACAAATCATTCAGCAGTCTTAACGTTTAAAAAATACATCAAAGTTTCAGTTCAGACAAACCAAGCCACGCTTAGACAAAACAATGCCTTTTTCCTTGGAAAAAGGGTGAAACCAAGAATAAATCACTGTTGTAGGGTGACAGGTGAACAAGCTGCATAGTCCATTGGAAAAAACTGCTTACTCGATTAAAGCAGGTTAATATTTATACTGCAGCACATCAGTGAATTTTCCATAACAAGAATGGAAACCAGTCAGTCGTCAATAATTAGAACAAAGTACTTTGGCAGTTCAGCCAGCAATACCCATCTGATTGTTCTGAAAACTAATCAGCAACAAAACCGGCTACTGGTCATCTCCCCTGCAATTGAATCATCAAAAATCATTCAGGTTCATCAAGTTTATGGAATCATCATTGACGATCATGCCCCTGTTGAGCAGTTTCACTCATTTGCATTGTAGGCAAGCGTGGCAGCACAATTGCACACAAAAATGTCCCACAACTAGCCATAAAGTGAGTCGGTGACCAATTTAAATGATAAGTAGTAATAAGAGTAATAAGGTTCATAGCGCCCAATGCTGTTTTTGTGGTCCTATCTAAATCTGCACTTGTTGCAATTTCAGTCCAGGACCCACCATCATTTGGCTTTCAGTCCTCATTAATCTGCATTTAATACCGACAGAAAAACATAGTATACTGTGATATTGCGCCTTTCACGTTAGGAGGAAGTCTCAAAACACGCTTCACTGGATTCTCTTTAAAGTGAAGGAAGATGAAGAATGGAGTGAAGGGTACAATGGGCAGTTCGCTGCAGCTTTTGTTAAGTACTTGAACTGTAATGAACTCACTGGAACTCTGCTTATCTGCCATCCTTTGTTCACTGCAACAAAAACAGTGGCAGGAACATGGTTGTTTAATTCCATTTGGCTTTGCCTACAACGTTTTAGCAGTTTCATTCTTTAATACACTACCTGCATGAATCAGGGCATGTTAATTTAGTCACAGGACTTAGCATGGTCTGATGTGCCCACACACTATCCCCCACTCTCCAGAAAAAAATCGAGGCTCATTTTCTTTATTTAAAAATGTGAAAGACTTTTAAATTATTTTTTTATTTATAATACATTTCATATACAAAAGAATGTAAAATTACTACCTTACTGGAATCTGCCTCAAGTAAATTGAGCACCCAACTATGTGATAAACCATACAGTATATACAAGATTGTACAAAACATTCATGCATAATTTTAACAAAAATATATAGCCTAAGCAATTAGCAACAACTTTAATTTGTGAATTCTTGGGAGATTATTTTATCAACCAAACCAAGTCTATTGATGCAGTCATAATGGCCAATAGTATTTAAGTGTTGTCCAACAGAAATTTAGGATTATTTATTCATTTTTTTAAACATTACACCAGTAAAAATCTGTCTATAAACTGCATTAAAATGCCTACAGGGCTTAAGATGTTATTGCTATGTTATTGCACAATGCATCTTAATACTTAACATTTTCGTGTGGTAGCAAAAGGCATTATGTTGTGAAAAACAAAGAATGACCTCAGTTTATCTGTTAGTGGTTACACTTCCTCATCAAAGAGGTGGAAAATTTAAACAGCAATTGGGTCACATTTCCTAACACCTGCTACCAGCATACTAGTTACAGAGGGTTGGAACCAAGCCACCTACCCAAACTGAATGCAGAATTGTACATAGCAAAGGCAATTTAAATAACCATAAACCAATTATTCTTTGGAGTCTCACAATAGCATTTTTATATAGTAGTGGGACATTGTTTAAGTGTATTCCAAGAATACCACAAATATGTAGCATTTCACATGGCTAGCATTTCTCATTTAGTATTTACTTTTGTAGAGCGAGGGTTGAAGGATATTAATAATAAAGTATGAAAACTACTTAAGTTGCATTATTTACATCGCTCCGACTTTCTAAATAGCACCCACCTGGATCTCAGTGCAGTCTCCACACATGAAAGTGCTAAAATCTAACGGCAGCACATCTGCAAGTTCCAACACGAGGCACAACTAGTCAACAATCATCCCCTTTCTAATAAAAGAGGTAAGCAGCATTTCGATACGGTATTAGCAGCACTGAAATACCCAAAACTCAACACAGATTGTGACTAGTTCCAGGACTTCCCTAGCATTACTCCTCTCAAATTTGGTCTTACAGCTGAGCACAGTAATTTCAACAAAACGTACAAAATACCTTTGAACAAAAGAAACATTATACTCAAGATCTGAACGGAATTAGAAATAACTGTCATAGTACACACACACACACACACACACACACAAAGGCTGCTAACCCAACCTACCTACGAGTTCATTTGAAGCTTCTTAAAAATTGGTCTTAATAAAAATATTTGTTGCCTCGTTATGTTAGGATAAATAAAAACCTCAATAATTCTAAATCAAATAGCTCCCAGGTTCCTTTGAGAATTAACAAAACATTTCTGCAATTTTCCTTTGCCAGTGAGTAGAAAAGCCAGCAAAGTTGTCTCACCCACATTGAACAGTGGCTTCACAAATGAACTGTCTGTGCAATAGCAAAGGAATGTAACAGTGCATAATAGCCCAAACATTGGTTTGTACTTTTACAAAATAAGTAAATTACACCCATTTAAGTGAATAGTTGATCCTCGTAACCAAATAAACTGTAATGACTTATTTTCCCAACCCCACGCCAAGCTTAAACTACATTATAAAAGAATTTTAAGAAGAATTCACATTGGGATAAAAGAATCTTAACAAAAACAACTGAGCCCCAAATTTGTGATACAGAAATTACTATTTAAACTGCAAAATGCGTCACAAGACTGTACCCTTCTAAACAGTTTCTGGTGAAGCTTGAATTGAAATAGACTACTGCTGGTCCTTAATCAACAGGGCAAACCAGAACTAAAAGTCCTGGTAGAAACAGTCCAGCCCGCTGACCAGTTTAAACTTTTGTTCAAAATAAAAAGACGTTTCATTCTGGAATCAAAACAAAATGGCACCAACTTGCCTGGCGGTGAAATATGCAACATTTCAATGTCCAGAACTCCTCGAGAAACAATCTCGTTTTTTAAAAAAAAAGTAAATTCAATTCCATTGGCACACTTGGTTGCATAGTAATAATACTCCTTTACAGGTTTCAGGGAGATTGTTGCTTTATTTTCTCAGCAGCATCCCGCATTCGTACGAGTTTTGCTTGCTGGTTCTTTCACAAGCTGAATATATTCCCCTTGGTTTTGGGTAGGTGATCCCAAACTAAGTTGTGACATCAAACAGTCCACTAAAACACTGAAAAAAAGGTATTTCAGGTGAGTTTTTAAAGCCTGGTAAACATGCCAGTGTAAATGCAAGATTCTAAATTCATACAATGATCCGTTTTGAGAGAACTAAGCAAGATCTCTTCCAACCTTCCATCCAACATACCTCATGGCCCGATTAATATTCTTGTTCTCTTTTACCGAGGTTTCAATCCAGCCGACAAAATGGTTTTGTTTACTGAACCTTTCAATCTCTTCTTTGGTGACAGCCCATTCCGCTAAATCACTCTGTTAAAATAAGCAGTGGACAACATAATACCCAAGACTTATTTTAAACTTAATTAAAATCTCATACATAAACAGGATTAATTATTCCTTGGAATACAACTAGATAATAATAATAATAATCCTTGCATTTGGTATAACCCCTTATCACGTCTTTGGGACATTTCAAAGCACTTCACAGGATATACTGTAAAGTGTATTGACTGAATATTTTCTGGGTGAAACATAGCAGTCAATTGCGCACAGCAGTGTCCCACAAACAGGCGTGGATTGAGTGACCAAAACGTTCGACGGGGAAGAGTTTGAACATTTAATTTCTGGTCTGTGCTGGGTTGGCTGATCTCTGCCAGGGGAGCAGTTGGAAATCTGGGATGGAAAAATGAGCCTGAGTTCTGACTTGTCATGACTAAATAGAGATTGGAGTTTTGAACATATGGATGTTTGGTTCGGGGTTGGACGTAATCACCCCAGCAGTCAACTAGTCTGCCAATCCTCACAGTCAAGGCTCACATGACAAGCACTCAAGACCCTACCCCACATGAAGGGCACTACATAATTGCAAAAAAATGGAAATGTAACTTCAACAAATCATAAGCATTATAGTTGGGCAAGAACAAAAATATCAGGGATTAAAATTAAACTGTTCGGTTCCTCATTCAATATCATGAAACAGGAATCATGCAACAGCATTGTTACAGTAAATTTAAAAGCAAATCTTTACTGGAGGCACAAGCTACCTCATACTATTGCTCAATTTAGCTTCAGTAAACTACAAAGGGAAATCATACCACAGTCACTCAAAAAAAACGTGGTTCTGACCTTTCCAGGTTTTATAACAGACTGAGAAATTACTTGAAATTTCTCCTGGATATATTTTATACTCATAGAAAAATATCAAAGTTGAAGGAGTTTCCCTTTTCTTTACAACCAATAAACATTTTTTTCTCCAGTTTCTGCTCTAGGTTTTTATTACATGAAGAAGGATCGGGTTTAGTAATCTGCTATAAACAGCTGATGATGTGGTTAGGTGAACCATACACCAGGAGATTAATAGCATTCAAAAGGGATCTGAACAAATTAAGTAGATGGACGAGAGACAGACAGAATTCAAAGCAGAAAAATATAAGGCAAGTTAACGTATATTGTCATCGAAAAAAAGTGGATGTAATGGTTGGATGGCATTTACAAAGGCAGGAAAGGGACTAGATATTGAAGATCATATTGAAAAAAATGTAAATCTGGTGTGGATAAGGTTGAAATATTGGGGTGGAACTCAAAATATTCAAATAGAAATTGGTTTAACTCAGTACAACTCATTGATAAAGGCACAATTGGAAATATACAGAGTACAATTTTGACCACTGTACCTTCAAGAAAGGTACTGAAGCATATTCAGAGAAGTGCAAAAAGGATGTTTCCCAGAGTTATGAGACGAAGGTGAGAAGAAGGTGTTCTCTTTGGAGAAAAGATTGAGAAGGAGTAAAATCCAGGACTTTAAAATGCTGAAAGGCATGGATGTAAGCAGATTATTGACATTAATTTGTGACAGCAGAACGAGAGAATGCGAGTAGAAAAAGTCAGAAAGTTTCAAGCATGGCAGAAATTATTCTCTTTCTTCCCCGCCTGGTGTTTGATATGAGGAAAAAACTCATATCAAAAGAACAGAATGCTTCTTTGTTACCCTCCCTGTTTTATAAACAGATTGAAAATTAAGCATGGATATATCAAATAATCTAGGGAACATTGGGATTCTTATCCTTTAAGACCGTGTGAATGTCATTTATAGAATTCAAGCAGTCAAGGTTGAACACACAGCAGTCAGGGAGAAATTTCAGAGATTTATCTGAGTAGTTTGCCCTATGAAAATTTACCTTTTCGATAATAAAATTACCCAATTTATTTAATTATAGTGCAAACTGTATATAATCTTTTGGGGTTGAGCAGATCAATTGGTTATGTGGCAATTTCCCCCTTTTTGGATTTGGTATTACTTACACTTGGTGTACGGTTAAATGAAAAAAAAATCCCTTTACTTTTCTAGGATATCCCTACAAACTAATTCACGAGTAGAGCTTGAATCCAATTAGTCCAATATAATATTAAATGAAACTGGTAAATATTGTCCTAATTAACACATTAACTTTGTCATTGCAATCAAAATCTTTCCTACCCAAATATACAGTCAAACAGAAACTTTACAAACATCTTCCTCTCAAAACTCACCTTGTTGGCTAGAAGAACACATGGCACCGGGCTTCCATCCATCAAAGTGACTTTGCCATCTAAATCATGCTTCCACTTGAGGCAGTTCCAAAACGTTGTCACATTTGTGACATCAAACATAATAATACATGCTCCTGCCTGTCTGTAATAAAGCCTGGTCATAGAGGTGAAGCGCTCCTGGCCTAGATAGGATACAAGTCAATAATTTTAATCGTCAAGCAAGGACCCTGGTTGCCAGCACAGTCATTTCACCTGTAAATTTGGGGTTAAAGCTGTTCCAGAAAGGAAACAATTAAAAAATTGGTACTTTTTGACACCTGCCTGGTAAGAATCCTATATTTTAACCGCTGGGAGTTGCTAAACCACTTAAATATCAATTGAAGACTATATATAAACAGGAATACTCTGGAATAAGGTCTTAATCAATCTGATAATCATAATAATAATATTGTTGATCCTGAAGTAAGCTTTTTTTGGTAAAATATACAATAATAAGACAGCTGCAAGGGAGTGGGAAGGGAAGGAAGAGCCAGAGTTAAACAGGAAACCACATCTATTCTCAGAAATACAAAAAAGTAACACCACCACAACAACAACAAAATTACATTTGTATAGCGCCTTTCACGTTGGGAGGACGTCCCAAGGCACTGGACAGACAAAGTTACGGAAAGCAGGGAGATCGAAAGTACGGTCGAAGAGAAGGGTCTTGAGGTGGGTCTTGAAGGTGGCGAAGGAGGGGGCGAGACGGAGGAACTGAGGGATGGAGTTCCAGAGGGTGGGTGCAGAGTGGTGGAAGGCCCACCCGCCAATAGTGGGGTGAGCAAGGGTGGGGGTGATAGGGGCGCAGAGCATAGTGCGGGAGAAGACACGGGCTGCAGCGTTCTGGATGATCTACAGCCAGCGCAGGGAGGAGTTGGGGAGGCCAACAAGCAATGAGTTTGCATAGTCGAACCACCATAAATATTTAACTTGAAAACATTTAAATTGAATAAAGTACTCTACTTGTCAGGACAAAAAGTATAGCCTTACCCTGAAATACACATTCACATCTACATTAAAAAAAAGCTGTAGAAAGAAATCCTACATTGGAAAATAATGTGATATTCGCCTAAACTTCTTTTTCAAATGTCCAATTATCTCAATTTTAAGTCTCTCCGCACCATTTCCCACCAAGTGGGCAGTAGAGTTGCACCCAGGCTATTCCTCATTACCTAATCGCTCAAGTGATTAGTTAATGAGGAATGGCCTGGGTGATTTGACTTAATTTTTCTTCTTCTTCCCTGCGGGAAAGCCTCGCGCCTCTGCTTTTAGCACACACACAGGGTCACCCAATCCCAACAACCGAGACAGAGAGCTTGGTGGAGAGACTATTAGCAGCACAGGTTCACAGTTGAGAATCTTCGACGGAATCCAAGTTATAGCAGCATGTTTGGGTGGCTACGTGCTTCCATTATTACATTCCTACTTTTACTACAGTCATCTTATGGAACCATCCTAATTAATAAGCTATTCTACCAAAACAAGCCACATCTTACCTGCTATATCCCAAAGTTGGAGTCGGACAGTCTCAGTGTCTGACCATTCTAAAATCTTCAGCGCAAAGTCCACTGCAAGGAATGAGATAAAGATACTGTAAAACAATAACTTGCATTTACATAGCAACCTTCACCTCGGGTATCATCGTGGATGATTAATCAATGGTGATTCTTTCAGGTTTAGATTTTGCCACTACATGCATAAAACTTTGTGCAACACAAACAAAGCAAATTGCATTAATATAAAACATTTTAAACTGCATCTGTGTACATGAAGAACGGTATAATATGTCTTTGAAACTACATTTTTAAGTGAACAACAACTTGCATTTATATAGTGCCCCTCACGCAGAGTAGCGTTCCCAGAGCGCTTGACAGTGGCGGAGCACGACACTGAGCTAGGGGGAGGTGACCGTAGGCACGGTCGAAGAGGAAGGTATTCCAACGTGATCTGAAGATGGGGAAGGAAGGGAAAGGTGGAGGGATACAGTTTTGGGGTGTAATGGATGAATGCGCGGAACAGAGGGCATGAAGGACACACAGGAGGCTGGAGCCAGTCGATCGGAGGCATTTTAAGAGGAGCAATATTTAGGGAAATTTTAAATATTTTCTTTGGAATCCACCTAATCTGAGGTCACAATTCATTCAACAATCCAGCCTGAAGGGCGTTTTTTTTTACGTAAAATAAATTCATACATTATATAAACTGGAACACAGCTGGTCATGTAGCTTAATGGTTTCATTTCACTCATGAAACAGACATCTAACAGTGTGTATTCTTTTGCTCCCCCAATGAGACAGCAGTCACGAGATTTCAATAGTCTCGGCTGCAGATGTCTTCACAATAACTAACTTATTGTCACTTGATCAGTGGGCAAGATCTGTGGTTACAATAGAAAGCGACTGGAAGCCTATTTATTCCATCTCAAAAATAAGATTGCTCACTTCCTTATATGACTGATCTGTAACCCTTCTGGTTAAAAATGCTCTGTTTGAAGCACTAGGAAGCAAACCCTTTAGAATGCAGATTTCACAAGAAAAATACCAAATTTTCACTCGCAACAAGTTTTCTGCTATCAAATCATCGATGAAAAGTTAAATGAAGAAAGAGGACATCAATGTCATTTTAAAATATTTTTCCAGCTGCTTCAGGCAGGTATGTTTTGAGAACCTTGAGTGGATTTCCAGGTTTAAATATGAATTTAATTTAAATTTAATTAAACTTAAATTCAAAATCATGAAAAAAAACACGATTTTACTTAAAGGTTTCCAAATCAAGTTAATGCGCATTTCCATACAGTACAACCATACAGTCTGGTTACAAACATATAGTATTTCCACGCCTTTATCACCTCAAGGCTGGACTATGGGAACTCTCTCCTCGCCGGCCTTCCCGGCACCTCCCTCCACACCGCAGGTCATTCAGAACTCTGCAGCTCGTGTACTGTCCCGCACCAGGCTTCGGGACCACATCACTCTCACCCTCGCTCGCCTCCACTGGCTCCCCATCCCCCAGAGGATCGAATTCAAGATCCTCATCCTCACCTACAAGGCCATTCCCGGCCTCGCTCCCTCCTACCTCTCTGACCTACTACCCGCCCGTACCCTCCGTTCCTCTGGCTCCGGTCTGCTCCACGTCCCCCGCCCCAACCGCCCTACCATCGGTGGTCGGGCCTTCAGCCTCTCAGCCCTGAGGCTCTGGAACTCCATCCCCAGTGCCTTCGCCGCTTCCTCCCTTTCCTCCTTCAAGGCCGGTCTCAAGACCTTTCTCTTCGACCGTGCCTTCAGCTCCCCTCTCGACTCTCTACCCCCTCCTCGCTCCCTCCCTTCCCTCCCCCACCCTGACCATTCCCCCTCCTCGCTCCCTCCCTTCCCTCCCCTCACCCTGACCATTTCCCCCACTGCTCGGGTCCTGATCCAACTGTACAGCGCCTTGGGACGTCCTCCCAACGTGAAAGGCGTTCTATAAATGGAATCTTGTTGTTGTTGTTGTATAATCATACAGTATGTATGGTTTCCGTTTGTCCAGTATGAAGTGCTCATTCCCTGCCAGGTCAGCTCTGCATTATATTCAACTGCAATACAAATTTCCAACAATAATACAGTATCAAAATATCACTCACAGGAACAACAACTTGCGTTATACAGCACACTTCATGTGGGGTAGCATGGTGAAACTAATTTTAGGAAGTAAATTTCTCATTGACTCACATTTCTCACTTAATCAAACATAAAAAATGATTTAAGAGAGCAATACTCCAATCAAAAACACTACAGAGTTAATTAAGCGACAATCTGTAACATCTTCTGTCACTTCACCAAGATACAATCATCGTTTGCAATCAAAGTTGCATGCTTTCAGCACCTCTGCAGTAATTACCACTTAGTCTGAAATTAGTCAGATTATGAAACGCCTGTTTCCAATTTAATTTAGCGCTTCTCTACCTCTTTCTTATCACCAATCAATGTGAACCCAAATGTGTGCTACCCCTACCCTGACCCCATGTTTTTTTTTACAGCCCCACTTAATCCAAAATATAAAGCATAATGGTGAAGTTTCTGCACCAAGTTCATTTGAAAATAATTTTTTTTAAGACTGTAAAGGCCCTCAAATTTGAACAGTGGAGGTCATTAACCTCCAAACTGTGCCAAACTTATACTGACAACATCTGAGCAGAAGTCATAAATGAGATTACACAAGCTCTCCTTTCTTGAACTATACTGTTTAGAATAAAAAATATAACCCCTGAACACACGTCATCAGGAAGAATACTATTAACAGGCAGTTTAAACCTTCAACTATTTTTTTTGGGAGGGGGCAAGAGTTGTTTTTTTAAAAACTACTGGCCCTGAGAATTATTACCATTCCAGCAGCCTTTCAGGACATCTTCTGAAAGGATTCATTTATCCATGGAGTTTAACAGAAGTTGGAATGATCTGTGAATACCATCTGCAGCCAGAAAATCAGATAAGTCTATCAGGGACATTCTTACGAATAAATATTTAATAAATTAAACCAGATACTTTAAATTCTTTGAGAATTAAGCCCAGTACCCAAGTTGTTGAAAGGATGAAGCAAAATCTGACAGCGAGTCTGAGAAAAGTGATAAACTGTTTTACTCATCAGTCACACAGGAAGCTAACAAATGACCGACAAAGAACAAGTTACACACCTTTGTTTTATGGCCAGATACGGAAATAAACATATCTTGTGATACTGTTTGCCAAACAATTTCCTGTTTGCTTCTTGTGCCACCAAACCTCCATATAAAGGTCTTAGTGTAGAGAGTATTTCTCTCTCTCCCCCACCCCAAACCTAGAACAGTTTGCCTACAAACACAATCACTACATTCATTGACACGTGGCAGCAATCACCTGCAAAGCGCTTTGAGGCATTATAGGAACCAAGTCAATGCAAGGATTTAGGACTACAGTAAATTCCCGATAACTCGTCGCTCCGAGGGGAAAGGGTTCAGCGAGCGACAAGTCACCCGGAGTGGCGAGTTAGGGGTATGAGTAATAATAATAATAATAATCCTTGCATTTGATATAGCGCTTTTCACGTCTTCTCGACGTCTCAAAGCGCTTCACAGAATATGCCGTAAAGTGAATGGACCGTATATTTGTGGGCGAAACGCGGCGGCCAATTGCGCACAGCGGCGTCCCCACAAACAGTGGTGGGTTGAAAATGACCAATTTATTACTGTTTTGTTTTTTTGGAGGGATTCTTATTAGGCTCCGTGTGGAGTAAGGAAACCTGCCCAAGGTTTCGCCCTCTGCCTGGAATTGAACCCGGGTGTCTCTCTTGCAAAGGCGTGTGCTCCAACCACTGAGCTACAGGGACTCCACCAGACACGGAGATAAACCCGGACAGCACGACGACTCAACAAGCGGTGAGGGGGACCAAGTTGAGCCAGGGTCAAAGCGCAATTAAAGCGCAAGGATCAGAACAAGGAACAACACAAAGGGAACGACGACACAAGGAACGGGCATTAAGACTATCGAGGGAGCGGCGACTTAAAAGGGTGGGGGGGGGGGGGGACATTTATTTACGACGACGACGGCAAAGTTACACCCGTGAAGCGCGTTTCACGGCGAGAGGACGTCCCGAGGCCACGGACGGACGGACGGACGGAGTTACGGACCCGGGTCGGGGGGGGGGGGGGGGGAGAAGGGTGGCCGGCGGGCGGGCGGGCGCGAAGCGGGCGCGAAGCAGGGATACCGAACGCCGCGGAAGGTTCGAGGGTGAGGGTCTCGGGATGGGTCCTGGGAAGGTTGGCGGAGGGGGGGGGGGCCACCCCACCCCCCCCCCTCCCCCGCCGAAGGGTTTCGAGTGAGAGAAGCCACCGGTAACCGTCAAGCAATGTACGTTACGTTACGTTACCCCCCACGGTGGACTTGTAGTTCTTGTTGAAGCTGTCGTAGGCGTAGCGCTGCACCAGAGAGGTTTTGCCCACCGTGGAGTCTCCGATGACCAACACCTTGAACAGGTGGTCCTTGGCCATGGCGGGTGGCGGGGGGGGGCGAGGCTGGTGCCGGGCTGCACGGGGACCGGGGACCGGGGGGGGGGGGGGGGGGACGGGCGAGGAGGCCCGGGCTGCGGGACGTGGCGGATGACGGGGCAGGGGGTGGCGGATGACGGGGCAGGGGTGGCGGATGACGGGGCAGGGGGTGGCGGATGACGGGGCAGGGGGTGGCGGATGACGGGGGCTGATGGTGGTCGTGGTGGTGGTGGTCGCGGTGGTGGTGGATGTCTGACTGCGGCTGGTCAGGGGGGGGGTCTGGCGGGCAGTGACTGAGGCCGGCGGGCGGGGGGCGGGGGGCGGGGGGGAAGCCCGGCAATGGCAGTCGCTGCAGCTGTGGGAGTCCGGGCAGTGGCAGTGGTTGGTTGGTTGGTGCCGAGCGGGTCAAGGGGGTGGGAGGGAGGGAGGGAGGGAGGGAGGAGAAGGCGTGGCAGTGGCAGTGGCACCGTGGATGGCTGGAGACGGTTGGCTGGTCGGTGCCGGGCCGGGCCGGGCCGGGCAGGGCCGGGGGGGGCAGGGCCGGGGGGGGAGGGGGAGGTCTCTGGCCAACGGCAATAACCGCCGCCGCCCGAACGACGACGACGACGACGGGTACACACACACACACACACACACGCGCGCGCGCGCTCTTCCTTCCCTCACGATCTTCTCCGGTCGCCGCTCGCGATATTTTTTTTTCACTATTCACACACACATCTGTGTCTGTGTCTCTTATAAATATAAATATGTCATCGTAACGATAACGTTTTATTCCTCCTCGTCAATTCGCTCTCTCACTCGCTCTCTCGCTCACTCACTCACTCACTCAGCGGCGCGTGTCGCCCGCCCAAGCGATCCGGGCTCCTCGACGTACGCCGCGCGTCGGCCCTCGACGTGATGGCGTACTGCGTGCGTGCGTGCCCCCCGAAGCACGATGGGAAATGTAGTTCCCCCCCCCCCTCCTTTTCTCTCCTCCTCCTCCTCCTTGTCCTCTCCATCCCACCAATGTTGGCATCATCCAAAGCTATTGCTGCTTGAGAGCTGGTCAGACTCCAGCCAGCAATTACTCCACCCCCATGCATACTCTGGGGTGGGGGTGGGTGGGGGGGGGGTCCCCCTGCCCCCCAACCCTTGGCTCTTGTCGACCTGCGCCTAAATAATAATAATAATAATAATCCTCGCGTTTGATATAGCGCTTTTCACGTCGGGAGGACGTCCCAAAGCGCTTCACAGAACACACTGTAAAGTGAATTGACTGTATATTTGTGGGCGAACGCGGCAGCCAATTGCGCACAGCAATGTCCCACAAACAGTCGTGGATTGAAAATGACCAATTTATTATTGTTTTGGGTTTTGGAGGATTATTATTAGGCTCTGTGTGGAGTAAGGAAACTTGCCCGAGGTTTCGTCCTCTGCCTGGAATTGAACTCAGGTCTCTCTCTTGCAAAGCGAGTGCTCTAACCACTGAGCTACAGGACTCCACAAAATACTTTCCGGAGTTAGGCAAGCAGGATATGTCCCTCCAGGGAGAGATTCCAACAATCTCTCTCCGGGATTCCCACACGCAATAATAATAATAATAATAATCATAATCCTTGCATTTGATAATAGCGCCTTATCAGGTCTGCGAGACGTCTCAAAGCACGTCACAGAATATACTGGTGAAGTGAAATCGACTGTATTTTTTTTCGTGGGCGAAACCGTGGCAGCCGATTTCACACAGCTGTGTCCCACAAACAGTGCCGGTGGGATGCATGGAATTCTCAGCTTGGTTTGGATACTCGTCAGCATGGCGATAGGTTTCCGTATGAGTCACACACTCGGCTGACCCAATTTTTTTAAAAAAAAATTCTTGCATTTGATATAACGCTCTATCACGTCATCAAGATGTCTCAAAGCGCTTCACAGGGTATACTGTAAAGTGAATAGACTATGTATTTTATCAGCGAAATGCAGCAGCCAGTTTGCTCACGGCAGTGTCCGACATACAGCCACGGAGTGACCAATTTTAACTTGGGAGATTGTTGGCCAGGACACCAGCAGAAGCTCCCTTCTCTTTTCAAATAGTGCCATGGGATCTTTAACGCCCACCTGAACGGGCAAACGGGACCTCGGTTTAATGTCTCATCCAAAGGAAGGCATTCCAACACATCCCCATCGCTGCATTGGAATGTCAGCCTGGACTGTGATTCCAAGTCCCGATTTGGGGCTTGAACGCTAATTAGGTGTGTTTTGTTGTACTGTGCCTGAAGAAAACAGCTTTGGGCAGGTGCTTTATCTTTATTTTTCTAATTTAAACCTACAGCCTCCCCTCCCCACCGAGGAGCCTTTCTTAAGTTTCAAAAGCACTAACCCAGGCATTATATTGGGCTACATTTGGGCCAGAAACACACTGAATTTTAATTTCTGGCAACTGTTGTTCAGTTGCAGTATTGGCAAAGTCCCACTCTTACTGTCCATTTAGTGTTGCGTGGCTCCTTCAGCAATTGATCAGTCTGAAGATGGCACGTAGCACACTATAGCGCCAGCAACTTGAGGGATGTCAATCAGGGTACCAGACAGAGAGGTTCATTTTGTTTCACAATGCTTTCCCAGTAACAAACATGAAATGCACTGAACAGTTTACACAAGTTTAAACCGCAGCTCAACCCCCTGGAGGCTTCGGATGACAGCCCATTTCATGCTCATTCATAAAATGTCTTAAGTGTCACTTAAGCGTACTGTCTTAAGTGTCACGTGGAATCAACAGGAAAAAGAGACAGAGAGAAAGCGACAGGGTGGTGAAGGGAATAAAAAGACAGTTCATCATTAAATGACATTTTATTTTATCAAATACAGATACCCAGGATGTTCACAACATCTCGGCAATTACATATAAATATTAAATTTGGACATACTGTGCAGGTAACTGGGTCAGGACACTGAGCACTGTGACGGAAAGAATTTCCATTCACAGAGCAAGAATGAAATTTGGATTAAGACAGCCTGCTTTCAGTAAAAACATTGCGATTAAGCTTTTGCTTGTTTTTTTTTTTTATCTTTCTCCCCGCAATTTATTTATTTTTAAAATCACATTCCAGAGGGGGGGGGGAGGAGGGAGGAGGGGGAAAAAAATATATAAATCGAGTGCAAAACAAAAATTTGCAACACAAAAGACAACCTGTTAAGATAAAACATTCATAACTTAAAATGACTTGAGAGGGAGAGGAAGGGAAGTGGGTTGGGCATCAATTTGTCATGATAACCTATTCAACTATTGCACTGTGTCATTCTCTACTCAAGCATTATTTGAGAACCATTGCAAAGCAACAGAATCAGGTTGGTAAGCATACTCTCTATATTCAGAACCCTTCAGGGGAAGAGTATCTCTGTAACCAGTGACCAAAGCAACACTTTCTCTCTTTAAATATGGCTGTCAAAATAAAAAAATGATGGGGGGGGGAGAGAAGAGAGGAGTCCACTTCATCCTCAAACAATTAAAAGAAGAAAATCTTTTGGCCTCGCTACAGTAAGATCGAAAACGTCATCGGATCACTTCACACTGAGCACTCGGTCAATCCCGTTATAAATTTCATTTGCGATTAAGAGATTCAAAAAAAAAAAAAAAATCGACATAATTGTCCAAGACGTTTTGCAAAATGTTAACAGCGTGCTCCAAACTGTGGTTGCTGTGGCATTGTGTGCGCGTATATGTGTGTGTGTGTGTGTGTGGGGGACGGGGGGCAAAACTTAGATGCGAGCTCTAAGCTACTAACCGCCTTTTTCATTGACTGCCTTCCCACTGCAATATAAATCCTTATTGTACACTTTCAGAGCCACGGGGTGGGGGGTTGGGGGGGAATAGTGCACTATAAAATGTAACACATGGGGGACGGGGGACGGGGAGGACTTTAAAGGTTTCTCCTAAATTGTGCATGATACATGAGCGATGGTGATAAGTTTTGGGGGGGGTGGGGCGGGCAATGTTCATCATGATCAGAACATCTCTTTGAGATGATTTTCATGTCACTGTGCCGAACGACAACTCGTAACACTGGACAGGCAACGGGGAGCAGGGGGGGAAATGCTTTGCGGGGTCAACAGAAAGGATGTGTTGCCAACCGCCAGCTGTACGCCGCTACTTCGTAAAAGTAGGCATTCGGTAAAGCAGTGCAGACGCCTTCTAATTTGGCAAGTCATTTGATTACGGGTAGACAAGGCAGTAATTAATACTTGTTCTGAGGTTAAATACCATCATCTCACTCTCACTAGTTGCTTTGGAAAGCAGTTATTCTGCAGCGCCCCAGGCAGATACGCAATCATGCACAAAGTTCCCACTCCCCTACCCCCTCCCCAAGAGGTAAAAGCCCAGACACAAGGGGGCAAAAAGCTTATTCCAGTGATTCCTTCATCCATCCATCCTTCATCCAATATAAGGCTCATTTGGAAACAACAATTGGTCAGATACAGATTTGAGGTAAATAACTCATTAGGAGCACGGAGGAACTCTGCAAGTTTCAAACTATAGTACTGCCACCCCACCCCCACCCCACAAAATAACCAACAATGTGCAGTCTGTCTACATGAGGGTCAATGCATTGCATGCCGTATGCAACGAGAGCTGAGAAGATGCACGTCTGTGAATGCACGACACCGAACATGCTCAGTGAATGAATAACAGTCTCCCTTTTTTCTTTACAAACATTTGTAAAATCCAATTACTCCCCATATTGAAGAGGGTCACCTTGAGGAGGAGGAGGAGGAAACGGGGTGGGGATGGGGTTTGAAAGAAAAAAGGGAATCACTCTTTCCGTTTTAAAAATAACATCTCATCCCTCGGAATAGCCAAACAGCAGGTTTCATCTCCCGCGAATTAAGATTCAAAGAAACGAAAAAAAAAACCCCAAACCCTGAAATTTAAATTAGCAGCTTCCAGTTTGGAGGTCACGGGAGATCAATGTCCCATGACTTAGTGTGTTGTGTGTACGTGCGTGTTTGTGTATGTGTGCGTGCGTATGTATGTTGCCCCTTATGCAGCAGATCTTCGATGAACACTGCAGCCAATTGCACCGTGTGAACGCTCCCGATTTAGCAGCATCTCCGCACCAAAAATATCTCCTGTGGGTTCCTGCACGTAGGCTGAGCTGTACTGCACTGTGTACAAGACGGTCTCCATCATGTGTAGCGTAACTGAAGTCCTTGTCCTTAGAAATTGCACTTGCTGATTTAATCCCACCTAGTTTTTCTTTGAAGTGGGTGGTGGGGTGGGGGTGGGGGAAGAGGACTGGGGTTGGTTGTGTGGGTGGGTGAGTGAGGCAGGGTTGATATCCTCCGTGTTAGTCCCCCACATCTGTATCCCGATCGCCGATCAACCAGAGGATGTGGAAGCAGAGAGCTAGGAATCCTGTCCCTAGTAAATCACCCAGCGCCGTCAGGTACGGGATGGAGAAGTTGTCTGGATCCATGCCTCGGCCCCACATCCAATGAATCATCCAGTCAGCCACGTAGAGTAGGATCACCACCTGTTTTTTTTTTGGGGGGGTGGTGGGAGGGGGGGAAAAACAGGGATAAAGCACTGTCAGGTCACCAGCACAGAAAGCAGTCAAGTTGATCTGTGTGCAAACTAGCCGCTGTGTTCGCCTGCATAATACAGTCACTACACCTTCCAGTAAATTAATATTAATAATAATCCTTGAACTTGATAAATCGCCTTATCGCATCATTGAGATGTCTCAAAGGGCTTCACAGAATATACTGTAAAGTGAATTAATTGTATATTTTGTGGGCAAAACGTGGCAGCCAATTGCACACAGTAGTGTTCCACAAACAGCTGTGGATTGAATGACCAAATTATTATTATTTTTTTGAAGGGATTATTACCCCCAGAAAATGAGCTGCCAATCGACTAACAACCGGATTCCTACTTATTCCTCAATATAAAAAAACTTGGCAAAGGTTTTGCCCCCCCACCCCCAGGGAACCAAGTACTTTCACTTGCGAGACGAGCACTCTAACCAATATGGACTCGAAATTGAATTCAGTTTAGTCATATAGTGGCTTTCACATTGGTAGAGCAAATCTTGTGAAGTGTTCTCAGATATCTTCCCGATGTATCAAACGTGAGCATTATTATTAATGTTTAAAAAAATAATAAAACGTTCAACAGCGTTAAAAAAAAACTATCAGCTTGTGTTTAAAAACCTACTTGCAGCATAGCAGCTGTCATGTAGAACGCGATAAATATAGGGGTCAGCGTGGTGTGCCCGCCCTGTAAGGAGTTAATAGTGTAGAGAAAGACCAAGTGACCAGGTGCAACCAGCAGGAGCAACACTCGAGAAGATCTGGAATTCAAATCTGTAAGAGAGAGAGAGAGAGAGAAATGATCAATAACATCTCACATAAAGATAAGCAGGAGGCAAGCTGCACAGATTTAGCTGCTTAAACACCAACAGTATATCCACTGCGCATTCTGTGTTTGAACGTTAGGTAAGCAAGTTGCATCCCTCTAGGAGGTAGAGTCCTGTAGCTCAGTGGTTAGAGCGCTCGCTTGCAAGCGAGACACCTGGATTCAATCCCAGGCAGAGGGCGAAACCTTGGGAAAGTTTCCTTACTCCACACAGAGCCTAATAATAATCCCTCCAAAAACCAAAAACAATAATAAATTGGTTATTTTCAATCCACGACTGTTTGTGGGACATTGCTGTGCGCAATTGGCTGCCGCGTTTTGCCCACAAATATACGGTCAATTCACTTTACAGCATATTCTGTGAAGCGCTTTGAGACGTCGAGAAGATGTGAAAAAGCGCTGTATGAAATGCAAGGATTATTATTATTATTTATTAGAGAGCGTGCTTTGCATACCAGGCAAAGGGAAATTTCCATACACGCATGGAAACTTTCCGCCACTACACCCCGAAACTCTGGAACGCTCTTCCTCTATCCCTCCGCCTTGCCCCGACCCTTCCCCATTTTAGGTCGCGCCTGAAGACCTTCCTCTTCGACCGTGCCTACGATCACCTCCCCCCCACCCCTCCCCGGCTCGGTGCCGTGCTCCACTCCACGCTCCGGTTTCAGGAGAACTCAGGGCAGCGGAGTAAATAAGGCTGAGGCTAAAGGAGTCTGAATGTCTGTTGCAACAATGCAGCTGCTGTTCTTAACACCATGTGGCAATTCACCAACTGTGGGTTACAGCAGATTTATATGACCGGGAGAGAGGGAGGGAGAGAGAGAGAGAGAGAGAGAGAGAGACAGCCAGTATGGATCAGAGGGAGTGGGAGAACACAAACGTTTCCAACTTTCTCAGCGTGTTCAGTTAGCAAAACAAAGCAAAGCACACGCACAAAAAAGGAGGCGCTTCATTTCGGAGCCCAAACTCTGCGGTCGCAACAGAACATTTAAAAAAAGTCTCACTATCTGAGCCCAAAACAAGGCTGGAAGAGCAATGAAATGTCACCCTCCGGTGGTACATTTCTGTCACTGCAATCTCAGAGCAGATTTTTTCCAGCTGCTTCCTCCAAAATAATAATAATAATAATCCTTGCATTTTACACAGGGCTTTTCACGACGTTTTCCAGACGTCTCAAAGCGCCTCACAGAACATGCTGCAAAGTGAACCGATTGTACATTTGTGGGTGAAATGCGGCAGCCAATTGCGCACCGCAGCGTCTGTCCCACAAACACTCGTGGATTGAAAATGACCAATTTTATGATTGTTTTGTTTTTGGGGGGGATTATTATTAAGCGTGTGGAGTAAGGAAACTTGCCCAAGGTTCTGCCCTGCCTGGAATTGAACCCAGGTGTCTGGCTTGCAAGGCGAGCGGTCGAACCACTGAGCTACAGGACTCCAAAAAATCTTTGCTCCCAATGTTGCCTGTCCTGGGACACGACCCTCACCTTTACTATTCTTTCCCCCAACCCCCTTCTCCCCTGCCCCACCCACACAACAAAAGCTGCAGCTGATAGCTTAACATGCTGGACGTCCAGAGTTAACAAGGATATTCTCTATACTTACCAAAACAGTTTAAGTTCTACAATATTGTTGGAGTTCACCTTTGGTCAAAGATACATCTTTGAAACCACTTTACCAATAGCTTTATGGGATCTTAAACGGGTCCGCTTGAACAGAAGAGGCTTTAAGAGGTTTAACGTCTCATTGAAAGGATAGCATGCGGTGTGGCGCTCCCCTGGCACTTAGAACTCAAGACTGCTCAAAGGACCCCCCTAGGTGGGGAGGTGGGGGGGTTGAACCCACAAGTTTCTGACTACGCAGGTGCATGTGCTACCAGGCGGAGTTGAAGGCTGAAACTCACGTGAAGTTAGGGACTCACCTGAACTGCAGAAAGTGCGACAAGGGCTGGGGCATGTCTTGGGCACGTTTCCTGTCACCGAGCCCGGCAGACTGGAGAGGTGGAGGTAGGTTGAAATTCGGCTGGCCTGCACTGCCACCAGATTGCCACCAACCCCTGGGGAACATGCACAGAGACCAAAGATTAGACAGAGGAGGGTAACAGGACTCCAGGTCCCATCACATCACACGTGGCAAAAAAAAAAGTTTGAGAGACAATTACTTTGTTCTAATTATTCAGCAAGACCATGAAAAAAAAACTTTTAAACATGTCAAATCAGAACCAATGTTTATCGTCTCCAGGCAGGATACAGCACAGCCATTTAGACACACAGCCCTGCAGCAGTCCCTCCCCTCCGGATTCAGAACTCATCTTAGATCCGGTTAATCTGTCCGTTTGCCTGGCAGCTGTTTGGGCAACTTTATTGCGTGCAAACTGGCTACCGCGCTCGCCTGCAGAACACACAGTCAGCGCATTCAATCGCAATTCCCCTTGAAGCACTTTAAAATCCTTATTGATCAGAAGGACATCTCAAAGCGCTTCACAGGATATACTGTAAAGTGTTACGACTGTGTGCATTGTAGTCATAAGCTTAAGAAATGTTTCGACACTGTAGGCACTGTATCGAATGCAAGGATTATTATTTATACAGCCCATGGCCTTGAAACCTACGGAGTACATTATTGCTTCTGTGACCTCTTATTCCATTTATTATTCTCCTTCCCCCACCCCCAAACACAAACATAACAAAAAGCTATACTTGGTTTACACACATTTATCTCTGTGAGCTGCTGCATTCTGTGATACTGGTGAGCTGACGGGATAAATGCACAAATGTAGCAGAGTTTTTTTTAAAAAGTACTTGCCGTTGATAACTGGGGTAAAAACAGCGATTCCTGCAAAGTTCGGATCCGATACTGTTTTATCCAATATCAACCCACCGACACTGAAACACACCAACACTGCAGTTACATCATAGCATAAGCACTTCCCGAAGGCAGCAAAGTTTATTATTAGCAACAGCGTCTATTCAAACGAGATGTCCGCTTGACGTGAAAGGCGCTATACACATGTAATGTGTTGTTGTTGAGACGGGAAGTGCGGGGGAAGACAGAAAAAAGGAATGGAAGAGGAGAAAGAGATGAAAATGTGGACGCTGGTCAGAGATACAAATGGCTGCAAAGAAAATTAAATATAAACGATATAAACATGACAAAGTGAACCAAGCTCAAGACTGTATGCAACTAATACGCTTCAAAACGTGTAATTGTTTTGGTGAATGGCACCCCGGTGACGATAAAAGAGAAGTGTGACATTTTGTCAAATTCCACCTTCCCTTCTTTCCTGGTACACGGGTCCCTGTTTATCACGTGCACACACAAGTATGCTGACATGCACATGCGCCCCACGGTATGAGCAGCGACTAGATTAAAATTGGTTCAGTGGTCGGTACCTGCTGATAGTCATGGCGATGATGACTGGCTCCCAGCCGGAGTACAGCACCTCTCGTGTGATCGGGTTCTTCTTCGCCACAATGATCCAGAGAGGAGTCAAAGCCACGAAGAAAAGGCATACCAGCGTGTTGATGTAAGGATGTGCCTCTGCAACGGCAGAAACAAAGAGTGTGAGTGAGCGAGAGACAGACACCGCTTAAATAAAGGGCATCCTGCGCCCAATTTGGCTGCCGCGTTTCGTCCACAAAAAATATAGTCAATTCACTTTACAGTGTATCCTGTGAAGTGCTTCGAGACGGCTCAAAGACATAATAAGGTGCTAAATCAAATGCAAGGATTATTATTATTATTAATCAGACCCTCCTCTCCTGTAGGAGACGGGAGCTAACGATTGTGTAAGGACTTACGCAGCTGCACGTAGAGCCCCCAGCTGATCCCGGACAGCAGAGCCAGTGTGATCAGGTCCCCCAAGCTGGCCGCGATGGGAGTGGCCACGTTGTCCGGGTTGATGCCAATCTTCCTCGAGCCGATGATGACACCGACCATGATCATCCCTGTCCGCAGAAACCGGACGGCAATCAGAACACGCTCACGCAGACAATCCCTTCTACCCCAGCACCACACCCCCCTCCCAATTCAAACAGCCATTACACCAAATTGTGTCAGCCAGGCTCAGTTGTAGTGAGTGCTCTCTCTCTTGCCTCCGAGTCAGAAGGTTGTCGGTTCAAGACACTGATGTGCGCAATTGGCTGCCGCATTTCACCCACAAAATATACAGTCGAACCGTCTTACAGTGAAGCGCTTTGAGACGTCTCAATGACGTGATAAGGCGCCGTATCAAACGCAAGGATTGCTATCATTATTAATATTAAATTAAATCAAATTTAAATTCATTCAAAAACAAAAATGGGCTCAAACAGATTCTGAGCTCTCTCTCTCATGGATATGCTACGCACAGCAGGGCGGGGGGCCTGAAATATTTTAGCACATGTGAGGGGCGGGGGGGAAACGACCCATTCACTGACGGTTGGGATCTTCGAGGGACAATGGGGGTGTGGGATGACAGACGAAACCCGGAGGCTTCAGTGTTCTGTGACCCCTTAAAAGTCACACTTTCCCCTCCACCCCCTTGAAAAAAGAACACGTAGACTTCTCAGCACATCTGACTGCATTCCTGAACACCCTTTGTTCAATTAACTTTCACATAGCAAGAATGTTTCCTTCACACAGTATTCCCGTTCACACGGAGGGCTAACAGCCCTGAGGCCAGCACTCAGACGGCAACAGAAGCAGCCCATTGTACGGATCACTCACACACTACCTGCACCGTGACTGCTGAATTCCTCAGCCTTACACCACAGGCAGACATTTCACCACCTTGCCTTCCCACATCCCTAGTGAGCAAGCAGTGGGATTTGGACTGGTGCCTCACACCTTTCTGATCGGGGGGTGGTGGTGGTGGTGGTGGGGGGGGAGGTAGAAGAGGACAGGGGATCCCATTGCAATTGACGCATTCGCGTCTCAAGCAAGAGGACCTGGGTTCGATTCCTGGGCAGGATGAAACATTGGGCAAGTTTCCTTACTCCACGCTAGGAACCCAGTTGTTAGTTGATTGGCGGATCGCTTTTCCCGGGGGTAATATTCACTTCAAAGCAAAAAATAAATTTTAAAATAATAATAATAATTTGGTCACTTCAACCCATGACTCTTTGTGGGACGCTGCTGGGGCAAACGAGGTAAAGAATAAGAACAGAAACAACCCCATCACAGCACACTGCAGGAGCCCACACCTCTTACCCAATATGAGGGAGGCTATAAAGGCTGTGGCCATGCTGCTGGCACATAGCAGGACAGCGTGATCCAGACGGAAATGGCCTTCAGGAATCCAACCAAACACCACCGCGGCCACAGAGGCGAGGAAACCCACCACGGTCGCTTGGACCTGAGGGGGGAAGGAGAGAGAAGAGAGAAAAAAAACGTTATTGCAAATATTATTAAAATGTCCCGGCCAACAATCTCTCTTCTCTTCCCTCCCCACCCCCTCCACCGCCACCCACACCCCTCCTCCATAAAATTGTTTGTTTGTGGGACGCTGCTATGTGCAAATTCGCTGCTGCCTTGGCCAACAATATACCATTCACAATACTTTACAATAGGATACTATCAAGCGTTTTGTGAGCTATCAATAAAGTGATAAGGCACCATATTAAACAACATTAACACAGTATAGTATCTGAAGCGCTTCGAGAAGTGCTGCTGATACGAAACAAGGATTATTATTAATAATAATAATTATTAGACTCCGATTTGTTCATCTGTTCTCACCTGGATTAGAGACAGGTTTCCTGTGATCATCCTCCATTGCTCTGAGGCTGAATCCATTTGTCCGATGTTGGCCTGTGGAATCCAGATTGGAAAAGGAGAGACCAGTTAACACAGGCTTTGAGATGAAGGAGCGAGAGTAAGGAGTCCCACCTAGGCTCAGTTGGTAGCACTCTGGCCTCTGGGTTAGAAGTTTGCTCATTGTAAAGCGCTGCATTGTCGGAGGTGCAACAATGTGCCGTTAACCCGAGGTCCCGTCTGCCTGTTCTGGGGACCGTTCCATAAACTTTTGTCACTATTCTAAAAGAGAAGGGAGTTCCTCCCGGTGTCCTGATTGACAAAATATGTTGGGTCATTCACCTCATCGGTGTTTGTGGGACTTTGCTGTGTGTAAAGTGCCTGCCCGGTTTGCCTACAAATACTCTGGCCACTGCTTGCTCTCGACAATAATTTCCATGAAGCGATTTCAGAAGAGATTTCCCATTGTGTTATAAGTTAGTTCAGCAGATGTTACAAAATTGTACAGACCGACTGAAGTCTTACGTTGATAAGCAAGGCTTCTTTCCCCCAATCCCCCAAACCCATCCCCCAGCTCCCTACGATAAAAAAAACACTCCATTGAACAGCAATGGATAGATTAAATAGCGTCTGTATGGATCTTATCCTGGAGCCTTTACCGTGAATAAATAATGCTTTGAAAAAGAATTATTAAGAGTTTTTCCAAAAGGCGCACAAACTGGGCACCAAAGTCTTTGTTCTAATCAGTCTATTCAAGCAAGGAGCAAAACAGTAGCTTTGGCTTAGGTTTTCAGGTCAGAATGACACAAACCTAAACCAGACCCTGAGCCAAAAGCCAATGCAGCCCAGATAAGAGAAATCTTGGCTCACCTTGAGATTGACATGGGTTGGGGTTGGTTCTGCATTGACCTGGCAACCCGATTTGTGCGACAAGACTGAATAAAAACACCGAGCCTGTTTGCGTGTCTCTCTCGTTTGGAGTGACAGAGCTTTGTTTTTGACCAGGGCCAGGTTTGTGCTCAAGAATGGAAAACTCAGCTTTGGGAGAGAAATCCCCCTCCTTCCCCACCCCGCCGCACATTCATTTATCTCTGAGAGTACACAACTTGGTGAATTGTTGAATTTGGTCCCAACTCTGAAGGAAGCCAGGTGCTTTTCTGATTTGGTCAAAAGAAAACAAGCAAAACAGCTTCAAAATGTGGTTAAGAAATTGCCAAGTTCCGGACGCTTTAAGAAATGTGAGGAAGGGAAACAGTGAGTCTATACGGGAACCCGTGTAATAACTGTACGAGCCAGATTGGAGGGAGGCTTGCAGTTGATTGAAACACTATCCAACCACTTTCGGACGTCACGTCACTCACCGCAGTGGAGAGTCTGGCAGCGAGGGTCATCTCCAGGTTCCCCTTCAGGCCAAGCAGAGCGGGCACCAGAATAAATACCTCCGTCACCTCCCTGAACACTTCCCAGTGCTGGAAGAAAAGGGGGAGGGGGATGATAAAAAAACACAGTGTAAGAGCCATACAATGGCTACTAGCAACCCGTTATGAGCCTACCGCATCTGTTGTATTAATATCAGCGTTTGCTCCTCCAATGAAACCCTCTACGTGATTCACTTCATGGCTGTTTGTGGGACTTGCAGTGTGCAACTTGGCTACCGCGACAACCTACAAAAAATGCCAGTCACTACACTTTACGGTAAAATCCTGTGAAAGGCTTAGAGACATCACGATGACATGATAAGGCACTGTATCAAATGTGAGGCTTATTATAAGACGTAACAATGGCGGCTTTGGAAAGTGTGAACACTGATATACTGGAACGCAAAGCGACTTTCTCTCACAAATAAATATCTACAAGTTGGCATCTTTGCAATCCTCGACCCACGTCAGCTGCTCACACAGCCTCATCGCACTCCAAGCTACGAGAGAGATCCGGGCTCGGCTTCATTTTCTCGTTTCATAACTCCAGTCAGTAGCACTGGTGGTAGGATTCTCAAAGCGCGGCCTTCGAGACAAAATCGCTTTCTGCCATCGTCTTCGCCCCCCAAAACTTTTCAAAAGCGCATCATCTCCTGGCCAACGATCCCCCCCAATAAAACCTGCTCACTCGCTTCACAGATGGTTGTAGAGACATTGCTGCGTCCAAATTGGCTGCTACACTCACACACAGTCACGGCACTTTACAGCACATCCCGTGGAGTATTTGGGATGTTGTCCTGACGTAAAACACCAAATGTAAGGATGATTTAGGATTACTCTCTCAGATCTAGAGCTCTGCTGGTGTCATTCTACTCTTTAAAGGGTTCCATCAATCCAGAGGTTTAATGTGAGATTAAATACCGTTCATTCATCTTTGCTTCTTACAATGTACTATGATCCAGAGTGCCTGGTGGCGCAACTAAAGGTCAACGAGAATTGACAGACAATTATGGAATCTGCCCTCGCTGTGACAGAGTGCTATGACATTTGTTACACCAGCTGAAACTACCGAGCTTTGGAAAGAATTGTGATCGGTTTCAACTTTTGGCCAGCTTGTTATATGAGGAGATCAAGCAGAATGACCCAGTGCCAGTCATGTGCAAGTTATATTAACCACGCAGCAGTGAAATAGCATCACTGACAATGCCCTGGCTTTAACGAGACTCCACTCGTATTAATGTTTAATTCAGGTTCCCCCCCCCCCCACCAGCCCCTGCAACACACACACAGGTTCAGCAATCCCAGCCAGACCAACCCCACCATTCAGGGCACCTGGACCTGCAGTGATCAGTGTGTAAACAGCAATCACCTATTTCTCAGAATCTGTTTCATACAGGGACTGAGAGTTCCACATTTGCATTAATCAAAAGTTCAACGTTCAGTTGGTGCCACCTGCTCTTCAAGGTCTGGATCCACCCACGAAGATCTGACACGGAATTAAACAACTTCACCTCCTCCACCTCCAGCCCTTCTCGCTGTAAAGTTATCACATAATCTGCAGAATAGACATATTTTAACTAAAATAAATAAGTAACCCTCGCATTTGAAACACGGCATCTTTCAAGTCAGGACAACGTCTCAAAGTTCTTCAGTAGATTAGTGGAAGGTGTAGTGACTGCATTACGCTGGCGAACGCGCAATTTGTGTGCAGCTGCACAAAAAGTCCAGTCTTCTTGCTCACTCAGTGTAACTCTACACCGCTACGGTTTGTAACTAGTGGCCCTACATGAAAGACATGAGGATTCCTGGTGCGGGATCTATCCGAGCAGCTGTCAGCTCACTTGCGTTCCAGGGCACCCTTTAAATAGGACCCAATGCTCCGTAAGCCATGTTGTTTTCCATTGCACAGGTACAAAGTAAAAATCTCTGATCTACCAGCTCATTCCAGATCTTAGAGAGACAAGACACTTTACCCAGTAGGGAACACGAACATCACTTAATATCACTTAATAATAATCATTGCACTTGATATAGTGCTTTATCACGTTGTTGAGGTGTCTCACAGCACTCAGCATAATTTTACTGTGAAGTGTAGTGACTGTGTATTTCGTGGGCCCAGGTGGTAGCCGAATTGCACGCAACAAAGTCCCACAAACAGCCACGAAGTGAACCGCCATCAAAAGCAAGGATAATTTATTAATTGTTATTATAACTAATACATGCCAACTGTGGTCTGTTTGTATTTCAATGGTTTCTAAAAAAAAAAAAACGGGCAATTCAACTTCACCAGCAACTGTGGCTCTTCTAAAATAGGCCAGCGCCCTGCTTTGCCTTTCCAAGTGCGAGACACAGAAACACACAGTCTGGGGCACTCACTGTGAGCATCAGCGCATTCGCGCCCAATGGCAACCCTGCCTGCCATTGCTGCCTTCCCCACCACACAGTTCAGTGTCGCTGAGACCAGAGACCCCTCCAGATTCAGTCTTGCATTGAAACGCACCATCGCCTTTGCGGCCAGCAGCACAATTGGTCTCAATGACCCTGTGATACTGATGGCAGATGAAGGATGGAGGTTGGCAGAGGACTCCCAGTCACTACCCTCTCTTGACGTGTTTGTGGACGGTGGAGTGAGTGGAGCTGACATTTGGATGCACGGCTTCTAATATGGTATCCATAAATAAGGAATGTTGGTGTGACACTATTAGCTGTTGCTGTCCCTGGAAGTGCCACATGTAGGAAGGTCAAAGGAAGCGATTATATATCCATTTTGAAGGCGACGCCATTTGGAATCGAGGCTCGTTTACAGCATTGAAGGAGGGCACTTGGCTCATCGTGTCTGTGCTGATGATAGCTCTCCCCCACCCCCAGCCTGAAATTATCCACTCTAATCCAATTGCACACTTTCTAGTAAAAAGGGTCAACAACAACAACTTGAACTGATAAGAGCGCCCTCCACGCAGGGTAGCGTCTCAAAGCACTTAACAGTGGCTGAACCTGACTCCGAGCTGTGGGGGGAGGTGGCCGTAAGCACGGTCGAAGAAGAAAGTTATCAGGTGGGACTTGAAAGAAGGGAGGGAGGGGTCAAGGCAGAGGGACTGATACAGAGCGTTCCAGAGTTTTGGGGCGCAGTGGCTGAAAGCGAGACCTCCAATGGTGGCAGAGGGTGCGAGGGACAAGCAGGAGGCTAGTGACTGTTGAGCGGAGGCGCTAGTTGGTGGATTGGGGAGTGAGAAGGTCGGAGAGGTATAGGGAGGTACCAAGGAGTGAATGGATTTGAACACGACTGTGAGGATCTTGAAGTCGATCCATTCGGTGATGGGGAACCTGGAACCTGGGCCAGAACTGGTGAGATGTGGGTACGGAGTTTTAGTCCAGGTCAGTCTGCAGGCGGCAGGGTTTTGAAAGAGCTGGATCTTGTGAATGGTGGAGCTAGGGAGACCGGCGAGGAGTGAGTTGGAGTAATCCAAGCGGGAGGTGACAAACGCACGCGAGCGTTTCGGCTGCATTTGGGTCACTCACTTCACGGCTGCCTGTGGGACTTCGCTATGAGCAGATTGGCCTGCGCATTCGCCTATAAAACATGATCCCTACAACAATATACAATACAAGGTTACATTTATACATAGCTTCCCATATCGGGAGGACGTCCCAATCTCCCACGCGGCTCAAGCTCTCTCTCTGTGGGAGGTGGATGTTTCCACCTCGATAGGGCCAACGGTGTCAAGAGATCGCTTGGAAAAGAGAAGTGAGTTTCTCCCGTGTCCTGGCCAGCAATTCCTTCCCACGCCCGCGCCCCCCCCCCCAAATAAATTGGCCATTCGCTTTATGACCGTTCAATGGCTGGGTGACCTTACAGATGCCTAATTTCTAAACAAAACAAATGAAATACGTACAACGATAATCGTTGAATTTGATACAGCGCCTTATCACCTCGTGAAAATGTCTCAAAGCGTTTCACAGAGTTTTACTGCAAAGTGCTTTGCCTGTGTATTGGCAGGCAAAACACAAGTAAATGGATTTCAATTGGCAGAATTTGCCAGAGTGGTTCTTGCATTCCAACGAGAGGTGGTTTGCATTAGGGACTCGCAATATTGGTAAGCGCAGACATACAAGCAGTGAAGCAAGTCAACCTACTGTGTATGGATGTCGGCCAGGTACAGCTAACAAATTGACCAGCCCAGCCTCGTCTCACACCCTCTTTTCCTAGCATGACACCAAACCGTTTCCATTCCCCGTTTAAGTGGCACCAACACCCAGCAATGAACGTCAGATCTCAACCTTCTCATTGTTTTTCTATAATAATCCTCATCCTGACTCGGTTGTTATCATTCTTGCCTCTGGGTCAGAAGGTTGTGGGTTCAAGCTCCTCTTCCCCACTTGAGCTCATCGTCTGGGCAGTATTGTTAAGTGCTTTGAGACATCCTCCTGACATGAAAGGCGCCATATAAAAGGCAGTTGCATTTATTGTGAAGCGTAGTGACTGTGTATTTTGTAGGTGAATGCGTCTGCCAATATATGCACACGTCAACCCACTTGTAAATAGCTTTGAGACGTTAAGGATTATTATAAAAGTACAAAAGGAGGAAAAGAGTGCAATATCAAAGGGAATCTGTTACACAGATGCGTGCGGCTCAGCTAAACGGCATAGAGTGTCGCCCACTGCAGGAAATCAAAGTTTCTGTAAGTCAAAAGCACAAGGCTGAACACTTGGCCGGCGATACTAGGAACTTGCAACAGGCCTGAGTTTGATGAGCGGCAGAAACGAGCAGGAGAGTGGTGGGGGGGGACTGTAGTAAAAGACCCAATTAGGCTGAACGTGGCCACAATAGGACAAAGTTTTCACATGGGAGAGAGACAACTCAACTGTGGCTCCCACTCCTGGCTGCCCCCGCTGGAAGAGCGTACAGGTGTGAGCAAGATGGGGCTTAATTGCCTCCCACTTGTGGTCAAACAATGGAAAGGGCCGTATGGGCGAGGCATTGGGGAGCGACGGTGGTCCCAGGAGAAGAATCAAGAGAGCTTCAGGAGGGAGAGGAAAGGAGGACACAATGTGCTTTACTGAGCCAAACCCACACAGTCATTACACAGTAACTGGAGTAAGTAAGGCTCCTCCACAATACTGAACCATCACACTATAAACCTATCTCCGCCTGTGACTGATGTAAGCACTACTCAGTCACGAGGCAACAGTGCGGTCCGTCATTCCACACAGGTCACAGGAATCCTCTTTCCACAGCTTGTTATTTTAAATGTGAATCACCTGCATCCCTCCAGTCCTGGGCTGTCATTTCCCCAGGCAGCCTGAAGGGTGGAGGAGGAAAGGGAGAGGAGAAAGAGGAAGGGAGAGATTTTTTTTGGGTTAGCCGGGCGATGGAAACTCATCGCCATGCTTAAAGAGTATCCAAACCATACTGAGCGTTCCACATACAAACGCCACCTACACACGGAAATTTCTCCCACTTCTGGAACATTACAGGCACTCTCTCTCCCCCCACTGTGGAGGGATATGCTCTGCTTGCCTAAACCCCAGAGAGAATTAGGCACAAGTTGGATAGAGCAAAGGTTTGGAGAACCCAGAGTTGGGAGGGAAGGAGTGTTAACTGCTTGAGTTTAACCAGTTAACACCACATAGCTTGCCATTGAAAGCACTGTCTGGCAAGCTTTCTGCTGCTTGTCTAGCCCTGGGGTTTACCTTGCGGGGTTTGCAGGACCCGAGTGAAGGGAAACCCTGCTCCCATTGACCAAAATAAAATCGCTCGTAGCCACTAAGTGCGAGAGCGCTTCCGTCTAATATCAGAGGAGAGGGCATTCCCTCGCCAGATAACTCAAAGTTTTGAAACCATAGACTTTCTTGACGGAATCGTTTAAAAATAAACCACAACACTTTGCGTCACGGGAGGGGGAAGAGATTGCTGGAATGGTCACAAGTGCAACAGCATTATGTCTGCGAGGTCTCGATGCTCAAACAGAAAGCTAGTCAAAACTACTAATAATAAGCCTTGTGTTTGATACAGTGCCTTATCAGAAATGAGGGATATTCCAGTTCTCATCAAATTTTCCACTGACATCAAGTTTCAAAACATCGCTGGGGTGTGTGGTGAGAACAAATCAGTCATAATGTTTTCCCCCTTCACAGTGATTTATTTTAAATGAAAAGAAAAGTGGATCAAGTTCAGCCACGCTTGAAACTGATGTTGCTTAATGGGGGGGAGGGAGAAGTCACGAGAGTGTGACCACTGGCTGTTTTTCCCCTTCCTCAGCTCAGTGAGGCCATTCGCAGCATCCAAACTCTGCCTCGTTTAACGCCAATTCGCTCCAAGACGCTATCCCGCACAACGGGCACAACATAAGCACAAGTTGCTGCTGTTGTCGTCTTACATTAAACTCCTGATAACTCATCGTTCCAAAGGAAAAGGGTTCAGGGACAAATTATCCAGAAGGTCGAGCTAGGCACCTGTATAAATACATAAATAAATGCGACCGGGATACTGACAACATAATGACTTAAGTGATAACGACAAGTTAAGCCAGCGTGGAGCACTCAGGATTTTACAGCATTTCCATTTTGAATTCACCCATGTTTAAAACTACATAACCGCAATGCTTTCACCAGTCTTGTTTAGCACTTGGCACCAATTGGAAAGACTGCACTTAAGCCCACATCCTTTAATGCTCAGCAATCCTCTTGATTGCTCCCACAATCACAGCATGAGTGATAGATCTCAAACAGTTAGCAGCACTCACCGCTTGGCCCTGTAACGAAGATCAGAACTCTCCCTGCAGACCCGGCCCACTCTCGGAAAAACAAACGCTGTAATTGTACTGTTGGCCGTTTTTCCGCAGTCAAAAGAGGCCAAAGCCATAAAAGCAAAGGCGCTCACCGTTAAGCTGCATCTTAAACGAGCTCTGAACTCACGGAGCGGAAGGATAGATAGCTTCATCCTCATAACTCTCTCCACTTCCTCCCTTCCCCACCTGCCACTCCGCAGGGAGATGAAAGACACGTAATCGCTACCACATTCCCAAAGCTGCTATTAAGCACCTTGGCAGCGGGTAGTTCAGAATGGAATTGTGGATAAAGGTTGCCCACCCGCAGTGGGTGGCTTGTGGAGGGAAGAGTAGGATGCACACATTATACATACTGTCAACTGATAACTCATCACTCTGAGGAAAAAGGGCTCAGTGACAGGTTATCCAGAGTGGCGAGTTAGGCATATGTATAAGTACAGAAATAAATGCAGCCGGGATACCAACAGCATGATGACTTAAGTGGTAGTGACAAGTTAAGACAGGGTTGAGTTATCAGGAGTTTACCGTGTATAAAAACGGGACACTTACCTGAACAATATCCAAGACCATTCCTGCTGCCACAGTCCCAAATCCTGCCAGCAGGAATGGGAACACAACCTGCAGTCCTATAGAGAAAGAAGTCTCTTTGAGGGTATCAGAGGCTGGGCTTGGATCCCTGCTGGTATCATCACTGTCGTTACTCTGACTGGTGTTCTCCAAGAGCGCATCCTCCTCCCTCAGTCCCTTGGCATTGGCTCGAGAGTCCCTGACCACTACCACCACCTCCACTCTCCCTTCCTCTTCTCCCTCCTCCGCTAAATAGTCCGAGCTCTCAGCCCCCACCAGCTCCTTGGAAGAGCTGGGAGTGGTGGAAAGGGTAAAGTCATCAGAATTGCCATCAACAGGGTAGGCTCTCCCATTGATGTGGTATAGTTGCACAAGCTCCTTCTCTTCTGTAGACATTGCGTAATTCAGGACCTTAAGAACAGCATAATGGTCTCCCCCTGTTCCTTTCTTCCCAAATTAAAAGGTTGGAAAGCTTCGCCTCAGTTCACGAGAGAAGCCAGCTCGCTCGGTAACTTCTCAGACCGGACGGCAAGAATTTTAGTTAACGAGTTCCTTTTTCAGCTCCCAAGCGAGATGAGCTTGGCAGGGCTGTGTTCCAGGCGGAGGTCAGCTGTACCATCCAGACTCTGAGATGGCAAACACTGAACCCTCTCTCCACACGTGGCAAAAAAATATAAATGCTCCAATTCACTGATGGAAACAGAGAACACACTTCCTGCAGCGCCTCCTGGCCTGTTCGTGTGGGGTGATTTTTGGGGGTGAGCGATTATAATTCGATCCTGCAGGAGAGAAATAAAACACCACTTATCAAGAAAAATTGTTCATTCCAAAAACTTTCCACCGCTTAAAAACATAAGAGACAGGAGAGAGGGGAGAGAGAGAGAAAGAGAGAAAAGCGAGAGAGAGTCGGTTTCTATGTTTTACTCCTCCCCCAAAAATGAACGGTTCGAAGGCACCAATCCTGACTAAAATCTGTTTTTTTTCGGGGGGGTGGGGAGGGAGGGGGGAAAAAAAATCAGAGGATAATTTACTTTAAATATGCGCTAAGCCTCGGATTGGGTCAAGTCCGATATGCAGTTCTGCCCCACACATCTGGACAAGGTTAACATCCCACCCCCCACTTCCACCACAAATACAAATTGAACGCAGCTCAGACTCCAAGCTGGGGAGATGTCTTTTTATATAAAACCCCAAAGCTACTACTTTCTCTCCCCCTTTCCATCCATTCAAAAAAGTTCTCAATGCCATCCGCTGAGTCTCCTCTCCGCTCTCGTTTCTAACCCCACCGCCAAAAAAAAACCACTCATCACCTTTTAACATTTCCTTCACACCCCCACCCCCACCCCCCCCCCACCACCACCCCGAAAGGATACAAAATGAGCGACGATTCCACAAATAGACAAATGTACGCATAATTAAACATACAGTTACACCCACAATTAATTATGCCCACACAATCTCGCAATAAACCAAAAAAAAACACAAAACAAAATTAGCATTCATCCCCTCATCCCTCCAAAAGATACACGCAGAGACAATTCCACAAACAAACAAATCACACATAAGTAAATAAGTACAGTTACACCCGCAATTAATTATACTTCACAATTACACAATACATCAAAACGCACAAAACCAAATTACAACAAAAACCACATGCGCAAAAAAGCACACGATAATCCTGGCACTCGATAGAGCGGCTTAATCACGTCTTCGAGATGTCTCAAAAGCTCTTCGCAGAATTCACTGCAAAGTGAACTGACTGTGTATTTTGTGGACGAAACATATCCTCCCCCCACCCCCCCAAAAAAAAAACCCCACGTACACAAACAGAAATTGCAGGCAGCGAAGGCAGTCTCAGGGCGAGTGAAGAAAGGCTGCAAAAGTCACACACACACACACACCCGCAGAGGAACCTGCCCTCCCCACACCTCACTCTGTCGTCCAGCGCCTTGGGACGTCCTCCCGACGTGAAGGGCGCTCTATAAATGTACTTTTGTTGTGTGTGTGTGAGAGAGAGAGAGAGCGCCGGTGTGGCTTTTCTTTTAACCTTTTTTTGTTCGTGATTTAATTTCTAATTTTTTGTGTGTGTTTGTGTATATTCTGTGCATTCTGTGTGTGTGTGAGAGGGGGAAAGTGTGTGTGCGAGGGGGGTATGCCAGTGTGTGTGTGTGTGGGGGGGGGTATGCCAGTGTGTGTGTGTGTGTATGGGGGGGGGGTATGCCAGTGTGTATGGGGGGGGGGGGTATGCTAGTGTGTGTGTGTGGGGGGGATGGTATGCCAGTGTGTGTGTGTGTGGGGGGGGGGGTATGCCAGTGTGTGTGTGTATGGGGGGGGTATGCCAGTGTGTGTGTGGGGGGGGGGGGGGGTATGCCAGTGTGTGTGTGTATGGGGGGGGTATGCCAGTGTGTGTGTGGGGGGGGGGTATGCCAGTGTGTGTGTGTGTGGGGGGGGGTATGCCAGTGTGTGTGGGGGGGGGGGGTTTGGGGGGGGGGGGGGAGCTGAGGTAAAATGAGTGAGTGAGTGAGGGGTGTGAGGGGCCGCGCGAGGCTGTGGCTCAGCGCCTTTCACTGCCGGGGACTGAGGGCCTGAGGGGGGGGGGGGGGGGGGCGCTGCCCTCCCTCCCTCTCTGGTTAAAGTGTTACCGAGCGGCTCGCGATCGCAACACATTCACTCACTCACTCACTCACTCACCGTCGCAGCCGCTGCCATTTGCGCACAATCTTCGCAGCGAACCACCACCTCCTCCTCCTCCCCCTCACTCGCTCGCGTCGCTCATTCACACGCGACGCAACCGGTGTCGCAGCCACCGCCGCCATCCTCCCGACCGGAAGCGCCCTGAATGACATCACCGCCACCCAATCACACCTCGCGCCAGGAGTGATTGACAGGAGTCTCGGCGAATCAGCGCCTCGCATCCCCGCCTCCACCCCCCCCCTCTCCCCACCCCCGTGATTGACCAGGACGCCCAGTTGCCGTGATCCGTTGATTGACAGGCAGGCTGAACCAATAGAAACCTCGCCCTCCGTTGATTGACAGGCATGCTGGACCAATAGAAACCTCGCCCTCCGTTGATTGACAGGCAGGCTGGACCAATAGAAACCTCGCCCTCCGTTGATTGACAGGCAGGCTGGACCAATAGAAACCTCGCCCTCCGTTGATTGACAGGCAGGCTGGACCAACGGCAGCCCCCGCCCCTCCGTTGATTGACAGGCAGGCTCGACCAACAAGAGCGCCCGCCCTCTGTTGATTGACAGCCTGGTCAGCCAATAGAACGATGGCGTCCGGTGATTGACGGGGAAGCCGTCCAATAGAATCACTGGAACGAGGAAAGGGGGGGCGGGAGAATAGATACACTCATCACATCACTGGGGCAATGGTGTAACCACTTCTCTCCCTCTCCCCCTCTCCCTCTCTCTCTTCACTCCCCACACACTCACTCGCTCGCTCGCTCACAGGTCCTTACTCCGATCGGGCCTTGCCGTTGCCCGGTGCCGCCCTTGCACGTAAAAAAAAAACAAAACAAACGTCACACACGCAAAGCAAAAGGCACTTTGACACAAAATCAAATTTGAATGATAAAAAAAACCCGAAGTTGAAATGACAGCCCGCCCGGCGCGAAAGGCGTGACGCAAATGCAAGCCGTCGGCGTTGGCGTTGTCGTTGTCGCCGCCGCCGGCGCCGTCGGCGTTGTCGTTGTCGCCGCCGCCGCCGGCGTCGTTGTCGTCGCCGTCGTCGTGCGCCCGCGCGCGCTCGTGCCCCGCGGCCCGGCATTAGCGCCCAGAGTGGTTCTCAGGACGCCCAGAAATTGCTGGAGAGCAGAGCGTCGGAGGGCAGATGGATTGGGAAAAGCGCGCTGGAGAGGAACAGACATTCCGATCGTGATGACGCGCCCTCTCTCCGAATCGATAGGATCCGATCCTTGCGTTTGATGCAGCGCCCTTTCTCGTCTTCGAGACGTCTCAAGGCGCTTCGCAGAATATACTGTAACGTGAATTGACCGTATATTTTGTGGGCGAAATGCGGCAGCCGATTGCCCACAGGAGAGTCCCCACAAACAGTTGTGGATTGAAGTCACGGGTGGGGGCCGGGGGGAGGGGGTGGTGAGCGGTGGGAGAGATGTCTACAGAGGAAATGAGGTTAGGTTCGAAATGCAGAGATGCCTGGGTGGAAAAATTATTCTGGAAGTTTTCTCTTAACTGGCGTGGTTCAGGACATTTCTGAGCAGAGGAGATAGGGCGAAGTCCATTGCAGGGGGAAGAGTTGGAAGCAAGCTTGGTGACCCACCTAAACCTCTTCTCTCGTGCTTTCTTACATTCCTCTTTGTGGAACACAGCAATTGAAGGGCAACGGCACTGATAAGTCTGTCAGGGAACTTGGCCTTCAAGACGGTTGTTGTTCATATCTAATCTGACCAAATTTGACCAGCTTCAGGTTGTTTTGAACAGACCCAAAATGGTTCAGTCGTGGGTCACTGTGGAGCAGAATTGATCACTATAGGCAAATATTCAACGGAGAGCACCACTCTGGAGGTGAACTTAGTCCCCATAGTTATCCACCAGCCAACCAAGACACATATTAATCTGCTGTTTTCTTAGTAACGTTTTAACAATAAAATATTTGTACAATATTGCTGAGCTTATACAAAATCAAAGAGGAGAGTCTTGAGATGGGCATTGAAGGAGGCAAAGGGAGGGACGAGGCAGAGGGACTGCGGGATCGAGTTCTAGAGGGTAGGGGCAGAAAGGCTAAAGGTCTGACGGGCAACAGTGGGGTGGTCAGGGCGGGGGACATGAAGCAGGTCAGACTCTGCTTCATGTCTTGCTTTAATGTTATTGAAAGCAAACATATTTTAAAACACTACAAAGGCAGCATAAATAATCATGTTATTATAATTTTAACTGCATCTGCCAATTAGCGCTTGATTGCTTCCGTAACTTTGAAGTGCAGGGAAGATACTTTGGTTTCTCTGTTTCCCTCGCTCCCTGTTCACCAACCGTCATTTTAAAAAAAACATTTTATTTGCAGTCGTTTAGTTTTAACTTTTACTTCCGAGTCAGAAGGTAGCAGAGCATCTGAGAAGAGTGGGGAATGTGCTCAGAGCAGGTTAATGATTTATGCACACATCCTCTGAGGATTACCTCTCAGCTAATGATTAGTGGTCAATGTAAACTTTATCTCTGTTCCCACAACGCCTGCAGATTTTTCCAAAGTTTGACAAAAAAACACACTTCATTCATAATTCAGAACCATACTTGAGGATGCACCAAGACAGTAAGACAAGAGGTTTAGCATTGCTATTGCAAAGGGCAATTTTAGGACCTGGGAAGTTTTACCAGAGGGTAATTAAACTGAAACAGGTTGCCAGGAAGGGTGGTTGAGGCTAGGACGCTGGGATGGATTGCTTTCCGGGGGGGGTAATAATCCCTCAAAAAAAAATTTAGTCACTCAATCCATGATTGTTTGTGGGACACTGCTGCTTTTTGCCCCTCAAAATACACAGTCAATCCACATTACAGTACATTCTGAACCGCTTTTAGACGTCTCGAAGGCAAGATGAGGCTCTATATCAAATGCAGGATGATTATTATTATTAGTTCCAGGAGAATCAGTGAGGTACCAGCTTGAAAACCTCTTTAGCATGGATCTATGTTGAAGCACGAAACACTGACTTGTTTTGTAGCCAACACTTTACAAGACTCATTGACGCTGTAAATATGGCAAAGAGCCGTTGTAGTGATACGCTGCCTTGCTCTTAAGCCACCTTCCTGGAACCAGTGAATGGGTAACCGAGGCCAGTGGTGCATTAGCGCTCCCGGTTAAAGACCCAACATGAACACTTATTCACCTTTTATGGTGAATTCCAATAAGCCACGGAAGTGGAAGTTAAAACTAAACGACTAAAAATAAAATGATTGAAAGCACAATG